GGCTGCAGCTTGGAATCACAGCTAATCCTCAGTCCAACCACAGAACCTGTAGGGAGCCCCTCCTGATGCCTCTACCCACCCTGACCGATTTCCCAGGAGTGATGTCATCGTGCTCCAGGATCCTGCAGTCCTTGTAGTAGGACCTTGACTCCAGCTCCCCATATCCCCAATTAGGTGACCTAATTGAAACTTAAACCATGTCCAGAAAGAATCCCCTGTAAGACTTGAGGGAAGCTCCAACAAACACTTATTGAATAAGTCTTCTGTTCCTCCTTCCAGTCTTTACTCAATAAGATATACGCTGCCAGTCCATCTTATTTAATATTGCAATATGCTCCCTGGCACTTCCTATCCCCCATACCCTATTCCATTTTTTTGTTTTTCCCATAGCACTTATTACCCTTTAATGTACTATTTAATTGACTTATTTATTATGTTCATTGTTTATTGTTTCTCCTTTTAGAATATAAAAGCAAAAAACAAACAAACCCATTGCCATCGAGTCTATTCTAACTCAGAGCGACCCTATAGGACAGAGTAAAACTGCCCCATAGGGTTTCCAAGGAGTGGCTGGTGGATTCACAGCCAATCTTTTTGTTAGCAGCCATAGCTCTTAACCACTGCACCACCGGAATATAACTTAGAATGTAAGTTCCATAACAGCAGGGTTCTTTTTCACGTTCTTCACTGATGAATTCCAAGCATTTTGAACAGCGTCTTAGACAATGGGAGGTGCTTAACAAGCATTTTTTAAATGAATAAATACTGATATCAATTTCATGTGGTTTCTTGAAATGAATAAGATATCCTGTCTGCAAAGAACTTGAATTTTGGAATCAGACGACCTGGTTTTAAATTTTGGTCTGGCACTAGCTGTGTGACCTTGGGCAAGTCAGCTGACCCCTTTGAGTCTGAGTTTCCTTATGTAAAATAGAATAATTTTATCTACCCTACAGGTTGCTATGATGATCAAATGACTTCAAATGTTTACAGTGCCAAGCACAGTGCTGATCCAAAGCCAGAGTCCATGACTGAGAGGGGCTCACAGTCTAGGGGAGGAAGATACTAATCAAGGTATCTGCATGCAAGCCACAGAAATCATATGGGGCTATCAGCCTAATCAGGGAAGGAATTGGCTGGAAGAATATCAAGGAGTTCATGAAATTGACAGGAAGTTTTGAGGAGCTGGTTCAGAAAACACTCAGGAGCCAAAGGAGGCCAGGTAGCAGGAATAATGAGCCAGAATGTCTTTGCCATTGCTGGACATAGCCATTGCCATTAAAGAAAGAAACGGGTGTACCCTGGCACAGGTGCTGGTCACAGATTCCATTTATAAATGGCCATTGCTGCTAGAGACTGTGAAGGTGGTAGAGCCAATCTCACAGGCTCTTTGTTTTACATTCCTTGCTCAAGGTGAAAAGTCTCTCTATGGGTATCCAGTTGGCAAAGCTCGGGTTATGTGCCCGTGGCCTGGCTGCCAGGGGGAGGCGGAAAGACGATTTTTTCCCCTCGTAGCTTCCATGATAGGAGTCAGGGTCCTCACGCAATTGGAAATTCTCTAAAACTAAAAAGGAGTTTGGGTGCTGGGAAGCCACCAAGTGAGCAGCGTCCACTACAGGAGAGGTGTGGCCAGAAATAATAATGGGGTAAAGCCAGCAGGCAGCTATACCAGTGGTACTGTGTGGTACTCAGGTACACAAACCTCATAGTGGGTGTGTCCATCAGGCTTCCTGAGGAGAGTTTAAGTAGAGGAACTATTTCCAAAGGTGTGGCCAGTTTGGAGGAAAATTGCAAGAGCTAGTGCAGTTCCTAGGTCTAGCAACAGCTGGAGCCTGAAGGGAAGCCGTTATCTGAGAAACCCAAAGAGACAGTCGTGTGGAGATGGTCACCGAACAGGCACTGTGACCCTCTTATGAGGGAAACTTCCAATCTATGGGGATGGTGTAGAGATGGAGCTGGAAAGTACCCTGACTCGTCTGCCCTCCTCCAGTCTCCCTTCAGTATCCTGCTGCTGCTCCCCATTTTGATACCCAACTGGAAGCCAGAGGGCACAGAAGTCCCCTGATACAGTTCGTGCAGGGTGGCAGCCCAAGATCTGAAGGGGTGAAGAGAAGACACTGAGTGCCATGGAAATTAATTCTCCATAGAGATGTACTGATGGCTCCGTGGAGGTGACAGGTAGAGGAGGAACCCTGGACCTTGAGACTGGAGTGGAATTTCAGCAGCCTTTCCAGATGGAGGCACACTTGTGGCCAGATCGTGTGGTTCTCAGTGTGTGGCCTCGGGCCCTTCTCTTTACCAGGCGCCCATTTGGGGGCATTTACAACTTTCTGAAGGCCATGATTAAAGACTCCTACTTGATGTGGCTTCTTCACCAATCAGAATCTGGTTCTTGTGTGCCTTCTGGAGAATACCTTACCAGCTTAGGTATATAGAGTTCTGGAAAGGGCGTAGGGTTTGGACTGAAAGACTCTGAAGTCAGCAGCCAGTGAGGGATTAAACTTCCTACTTGAGGCTTGGTTGTTACAGGGTTCCTGTTTGTTTGGCAAGGACGTCAGGGATTTGAAATGGTTCCTTTGGGTTTGAACCCTTGCTGAGAATTTGCATTTCTAGCCCCAGATATACTGAATCAGAATCTACATTTTAACAAGATCCCCAGGTGATTCTTACATATGATAAATTTTGAGAACCGCTGCTGTACTGGGAACTTTTTAGACATGTAAATTCTGAGCAGGAGTTCAAACCAGAGCCAAGGGGTTCAAAGCTATGTGGCTGAATTGCAGGCAGCAAGTCTTATGATCTGGAACAGCAAATTGTGCATATAACATGACAGCATTTATTAAAGCAAGATGAACTTAGCAGCAAAGGTTTCAGCTGGAGCCATAAATTCCTCTGATCCTCATTTCTGAGCCATCATATTCCTTTTGAATGAGGTCTGTCAGCCCAACATTTTCATTCAAAATGTCAATTTGCTGAAAATTCCTAAGAGAATGAATTGGCGATTGCGTCTCCCCTCGCCCCTTTTTAAGAAGAGAAATGTTGAGCACCGTGTGGCTGACTCACTGTATTTGCTGGGGACAAACAGATCTGCGGTGCTGGCAGCAGGCTCCCTGTCACTGCATGTGCTTAGGCTCAGGCTGGGGAACACCAGGCTCCCTGGCCTTGTAGGGGGCTTGGTGTAGGGGAGAAGAAGATATTCCTACCATGATTTCTAGATCTAAGACTACAGGATTGTAGGAAGATAAAGGATATAGTTGAACTTAATCCACACCCTGTTCTGCAACCTGTACTCCCTCCCCAAGGCACCCATTTCCCCAGGAAAGGAGAAAATTTCAATGGGGCCTGGGAGAGGGCAGGAGAATTAGAGCCACAAGGCCTGGGTTTAAATCCTAGTTCTATTGCCAATGGAGCCCCGGTGGTCCTGTGGTTAAGAGCTACGGCTGCTAACCAAAAGGTCGGCAATTCGAATCCACTAACCGCTACCTTGTCTTATAGGGTTGCTATGAGTCAGAATCGATTCAATGGCAATGAGTTTGCGGTTTTTTTGTTTGTTTGTTTTCTATTATTAATTAGGTAAGAAGCCACAGGCAAGTCATTGCATTTCTATGAACCCAAGTCCATCACATATAAAATAATAGTAGTGATAAAAAAAAAATCCAAATCAAATTTGTTGCCATTAAGTCAATTCTGATTCATGGCGACCCCCATGTGTGTCAGAGTAGAACTGTGCTCCATAGGGTTTCAATGGCTGTGATCTTATAGAAGTAGATCGCCAGGCCTTTCTTTAGAGGTACTGATGAGAGGATTTTGAACTGCCAACCTTTTGGTTAGCAGTCAAGTGCAAACCCAGGGACTGATGAGCACTTTATACATGTCAAGCACTGTGATAAGGGCCTGGCACAAATAAGCTTATTTATTCTTCAAAGAAACTCTACCAAGTAAGAACTGTGATTATCCACACATTATAGATGATGAAGCTGAGGCACAGAGAAATTAAGAAACTTGGGAATGGTGGAGCCAGGATTTGAATTCAGAAAGTGTGACGCTGGGGATTTTAACCCTTGTATGATAACAATCTTATTTTGTGTGATAACAATAATTGTTAGGAGGTTACAGTAAAAAACGGGTATAAAAGCATCTTCTAAACCATAAATTATTAATCTTAGAAGTATTGAGCAAGAAGCTGAATCTTAAGTTGCAAGCTTTGTCCAGACTTGTTCAACTTTGTTCAAAAAAGTGTTTTCCTACCCCTACCCTCTGATCTTCCTTTCTTCTTTACCCTCTTGACCACCATCTCCTCTTACCTTTCCTTCCAGCATTCCTCCCTGTGTTCAAATACATTGACTTTGGTGGAATTCAGATTCAATGATGAAGGCAAAATAACAGTCAAATGTAAAAGTACTTGTGCTTTTATTAAAAAAAAATACAATCAGGTACTGTCCAGCTGTGTTTTGGAAAGGAGATCTCTTTTAAAACCCTTAGTTTTTATCATCATCATTATTATTATATTAATAATATTAATCGTGTCCTTAAAATCGAAGCAGTATTGCTTTTCTGGTTTCCGTTGTATGAAATGTAAAAAAGGGATGTCTTCCAATGGCACACATTTAAAAACATTGCTAACAAAAATAATGATCATTAATTATACAGCTTTGTGTAAGATACGGCTGGTCCTAAAACAAACTACCAACGTATAGCCTACCCCTCTCCTGTTCCCAGAGCCACCCAAGAGAAGTAAAAATCACTGTGATGCTGTTGCTAGAAGATTTTTGCTGAATCAAAACAGAAACCTATCGAGACTGTTGTCTTTGGTGCGAAGGAAGTAATCGCCGAGTGGTTGGGCCGCTGTTGCTACCGTTGGCCCCGATGATCATGGTGAACTTTGCTCTTGCCAAATGCCCAGGTGTGGCTTGATGGTTGGACTGGTTGTATGGATGCTTTGGTAAAATTCTTTCCTTTCTCTGGGTCCTCCTCCTCCCTTACCCAGTTGTCCCTGGAATTTATGCCCGCTTGCGCCTGCCTTCGAGATTTCGGAAGTTGCTGGGTCTCAGCTTCATCTCAGCAAACTGGATTGAGTGTTCGTGGCCTTTCCAGTGGAACCAATTAACACCCTGCAAAAAATAGAGACGGCCTCTAGGTTGGTTTCCAGTAGGCAAGGCACTCACTGACCATTGCTGTTAAGTCAACCAAATGAAATGAGCTCTGTTTCAATTTCACTATTTGGTGTTTCACAGCGGTCTCTTTCCTATCTATCCATCAGTCTGTATCATGAAAAGTTTCAAAAGGGCCGGCTGAATCGGACTTAATTTTTTACTTTAGTCAGAAATCACCTGAGTTTGCATCGAGCTTGGATCTGCCACCTTGAAACAAATCAGTGGCTGATGAAACTCGCCCTCATTAGAAATAGGTTCTGAAGGAATTCAGGTCATAATTGGAGGTGGCAGGATTGACTGGCTACATACAGGGAGATCTATAATTCCCAATATTCCTATGGAATATTTTAATAAGGTTGTATTATGGAATAGTAGAAAGAATACAGGTGGAATGAAAGCTTTGCAACCTGAATACAGGGTTATTTGAGAGCTGAATGATCTTGAGTAAGTTATTAAACCTTTCTGAGTCTCAGTTTCACTACCTTTTTTCCCCTTCGGGTCTGATAATGCCTACCTTGAAAGGAAGCTTTAAAGATTAAATAAGTTTGTAAAGTTACAATGTGCCCGGCACTATATTAAATTATAGTGCTGGGCTCATTATAGGTTCTGGGTAAATATTACTTCCTTAGCCTCAATTAGGGAGAAATATCTTTGGAATTTGGGCCAAAGATTTTCTACAAGAAAAGATTGTGTTTGTGTCCAGGCCTTCTGGTTCCATGTTTGACTCTTCAAAAACCAAAAACCAAACCCGTTGCTGTTGAGTTGATTCTGACTGATGGTGACCTCATGTGTTGCCGAGTAGAACTGTGCTCCATAAGGTTTTCAATGGCTCCTTATTTCAGAAGTAGCTCATCAGACCTTTCTTCTGAGGTGCCTCTGGGTGAGTTCAAACTACAACCTTTCAGTCAGTAGTCATGTGCTTAACACTCTGCACCACCCAGGGACTCCTGTTTGACTCTTTATAGGGGAGAATAAAGACAGTAGGAGTGGTGCAAACAGTTAACGTGCTCCGCTGCTAACTGAAAGATTGGAGGTTCAAGTCTATCCAGAGTTACCTCAGAAGAAAGGCCTGGTGATCTACTTTTGGAATAATCACCACTGAAAACCCTATTTGAAGTTCTACTCTGCAAAACACAGGGTAACCATGAGTCAGAATCGACTCCATGGCAACTGGCTTTTGGTTTAAAGACCAAGGATGGGTAGTCTGCCCATCAAGTCCAAATGGCCCCTTGTTCCACTGGGGGAAGGAGCAGGCTCAGGACTTGGTAACTTCAATGTCAGACAGCGCTCCTGTGAAGCCACCACCCCATGTGCTGAACCCCTCTTCTCTTTACGCTACATAGAGCTGTGAAGACAGATGTTCACGGAGAAGTTAATGAGTGGTGAAATGAGGGAAAAAATAGAGATGTTTTACTTGATTAAAATTATTTGGAATTTACTGACATTGGGAGGCATTTGAGTCTGACACGAAGGTGGGACTTAAGAATGGCTGGTTCATTTAATGGGCAAATGTGTTTGCAATTACTCCTGCCTGTCTTACCTCACCCTTGCTTCATCTAAACGGCCTCCACGCCTCTCTGTTTTACATGTTGGGGATCAGAGAAAGTTTTTGTCTGGGGAAAGCTTTCCATGTTTGACTCCACTTGACCAGTGTTTCCTTGGAGTCTTCAAGGGTTCACATATGCTATTTCTATGATTTTACCTGACTTGCAGTGTCCCTGAGATTTCTTCTTATCATATTGTCATACTCCCTGAGTTTCCTGCCTGCTAAGCTCGGCCAGGTTGGAGAGGCTGAACTGGCCTCCGGTCAGCCCCAACCGACTTTCTGCCCTGGGGCGTCACAGCCCACTCACCTGACTGTGGTTGTCGTCCCCATATCTGCCCATCAGGTTGACACGGTGACAGTTCTTATACCAGAAAGCCCCCTTGTAGGACAAGGCACAGTTGGTGATGGCTGAGTCTGTGTCTTTGTCGAAGGTGGAGAAGGATCTGCCATTGTGGTAGGCCATGGAGTCACCTGGGAGTGAGGGAAAAATACAGATCTGAGAAATTCTAGCTGAAGCTTTTCTTCCAAGCTGCAAAGGGCAGAACCAGAGGTGACAACTGAGAGGTCCTGGGCCTTGAACATTGGATGGAACACCATACTGAGTGGGGCATGACGATTAATTTCTGATAGAAGCAGCATAATGTGGTAGAAAGAGGGTTGTAGGTGGCTTTGGAGGGTCTGGGTTCAAGTTCCATCTCTTTCACTCCCTAGCTGTAACCTTGTACAAACTTCTAATTGAACCTCAGTTTTCTCATCTTTAAAATGGGTCTAGCGCATCAATTCTATTTACCAGTGAACAGTACTATTGTGACAATGGGTATGAAGGTATACTATAAACAGGTAGAGTTGTATGCAAATAGTTGTTATAGTTTTAGATTTTTTCTGCATTCCTTTTACATAAAGGACCTCAGAGAGTAAGTGGGGAAATCTGCACTTAAATAATGATGTGCTTTGCCCCTAAATACGAATATCTATAGCCATTACCTATAATTAAACACTTCAGCTATTAGATGTCACCACATAGCCTGTGTATGATATAAACCAAAAACCAAACCCGTTGCCGCTGAGTGAATTCCAACTCATAGTGACTTCAAAAGAGTTTATCTGACCAGTGTTCTCTTCTTAGACAAGAAGTCCATTTATGTATACTACTATTTGGGAATCTAATTTGTAATTGAATATATTAAATTTTCGGAGCATTTAAGTGCCATTTCCTTTTGGGTCCCCCCATCCCCAACCCTGGCCAAATCTATACACAAAGATTTGAAGATGTTGATGAATTTTACCCTAATATTTTGAAGCCAGTTGCCAAAGGGATTCAGACGCCTTTGTAACTGATGATGCTACCAAGAGCATGTGAGTGCAGGTAAATAGTGATGAAACCAGATACTCTCCTGGGGGAAGAGCTGGTTGTAAGGCTACAACCAAAAGCACACAGGGAAATGCAGTCCCACAAGAGTTATTTTAGTAAAGGGAAATATTGTGGCTCATTCTTGCCCGGAAACACAAAAAGAGATGGGCGGGGGCCACATTCCTGCTGCCTGCTGTATTTGCTTGCTTTGCAACAACATCCTTGTTGCCTGAAGCCATCTCAATCAAAGAGATACTTATTGCCAGGTATTAAAATGTCAGACTTCTTTGAGGGATGCAAGAATGAAAACAATCCTAGCCCCTGGGTGTCTCTGTTCCTGACTGCCAACTTCCACACAAACTGCCGTCTCAAAAGAGCTTTGTGCCTCTCTGGGCTGAGCCTGGCTTCTGGCACACTTCTGTATGTAGACTTTTACCTTTATGGATGTTTTCTTTGGGCTCAGAGAGGGTGGAAATGTGCCATAGCATCTGTCTCTTCTGTTTTCATAGGCTTAATGGAAACCTACCCCAAAGTGGGCAGGTATGGCGTGGAGTTGTCCACACTCTCAAGACTAATCCTAGTTACCAGGAACACTGGTGTGCAGCAGTTCTCTGCAACCAGCTTTGCCTCCTGGGTCCACCCTCTACAAGTGGTTTCACCTTGGGCAAAGCATTGAGCTTTTCAGAGCCTCAGTTTCCTCCTGTGTGGTGGTGTTGTTGTTAGATGCCGTCTAGTCAGTTCCGACTCACAGCGACCCTATGTATAAGAGAACAAAACACCGCCCGGTCCTGCGCCATCCTCACAGTCGTTGCTACCTATGTTTGAGCCCATTGTTGCAGCCATTGTGTCAATTCATCTTGTTGAGGGTCTTCCTCTTTTTCGCTGACCCACTACTTTACCAAGCATGATGTCCTTCTCCGGGGACTGGTCCCTCCTGATAACATGTCCAAAGTATGTGAGATGTAGTCTTGCCATCCTCGCTTCTAAAGAGCATTCTGGCTGTACTTCTTCCAAGATAGATTTGTTTATTCTTCTGGTAGTTCATGGCATATTCAATATTCTTCACCAACACCATAATTCAAAGGCATCACTTCTTCAGGCTTCCTTATTCCATTGTCCAGCTTTCACATGCATATGAGGCAATTGAAAATACCATGGCTTGAGTCAGGTGCACCTTAGTCCTCAAGGTAACATCCTTCCTCATCTGTATAATAGCAATATCTTCCTGAAGGGGGTTTTGTGGGAATTAACAACAACAACAACAACAAAACAGTCGCTGTGGAGTTGATTCTCACTCATGGTGACCTCATGTGTTTCAGAGTAGAACTGCTCTCCATAGGGTTTTCAAGGCTGTGACCTTTTGGAAGCAGATAGCCAGGCCTTTCTTCCAAGGTGCTTCTTGGTAGATTCAACCCCCCAAGCTTTTGGTACCTTTTGCGGCACACTGGGATTCCTTGTGGGAATTAAATGGGGGAACAGGTGTTAAACATCTACAAAAGAGGATGCTACCTGGTAAGCCCTAGTATATGTTGTTTTCTTATTAACTTCTTCTCTAATGTGGAGCCAAAAAACCAAGCAAAAGCCATTTCAACTCAAAGAAATCTTCAAAACCTAGAGTAGGTTATGTCCCAGACAAGGAATGAAAGGGCTCCTTGGGAGGCAGTGAGCTCCTGGTCATGGGGGGAGGTGGTCTACAGGCTGAGGCTGATGACCACTTGGCAGGGATGTCTTAGAAGAGATTAAAGCAGTTAGGTGATAGAGTGCATTGTTTGCTACTGAAAGTGTGGTTCACAGACCAGCAACATCGATATCACCTGGGAACTTGCTAGAAAGGCAGAATCTCGGCCCCACACTCCAAGCTTACCACATCAGCATCTATAACAGGATCCCAACTGAGGCAGATGCATATTGTAATTTAAAAGACACTGGTTTAGATGAATATTAAGACCTCTGAGAGACTGTTTTTCTATCAGAGACATCTAAAAATGGATAAGAAAAAGATATTTTCTGAGTAACTGTAGTTGCAACTCAGTCCTGATTGTCCTGATTCCCAACCTATTCTATGTTTCTATGACCGAAATATACAGCCAACTCTGTTCAATTACAGCTCTTCAGGATTAGCACCTAGTAAGTATTTGTCTTGTTGAAAAAAGGTATTTCCAATCAATAGGTTGTTGGTCTTGCAAAATTCTATCATTTGATCTGCAGCGTTGTTTCTATCACCACTATCTATTCTTCTTCTGTTTTGAATTTTTGCATTCCAATCACCAGTATTTATCAATGCATCTTGACTGCATGTTTGATCAATTTCAGACTGCAGAAGTTGGTACAAATCTCCAGTTTCCTCATCTTTGGCATTAGTGGTTGGTGAGTAAATATGAATAATAGTCGTATTAACAGGTCTTCATTGTAGGCGTATCGGTATTATCCTATCACTGACAGCATTGTATTTCAGGACACATCTTGAAATGTTCTTTTTGATGATGAGTGCAATACGTCCTCTTCAACATTTGTAGCCATACCTATAATTAAACCCTAAACATAAACAGTGACTGTACATGTGGACCTCGCCAGATGGAATACACAGGAATCAAATTGACTACATCTGTGGAAAGAGACGATGGAGAAGCTCAACATCATCAGTCAGAACAAGGCTGGAGGCCGACTGTGAAACAGATCATCAATTGCTCATATGCAAGCTCAAGCTGAAACTGAAGAAAATTAAAACAAGTCCACAAGAACCAAAGTATGATATTGAGTATATCCTACCTGAATTGAGAGACCATCTCAAGAATAGATTTGACGCATTGAACACTAATGACTGCAGACCAGACGAGTTGTGGAATGACATCAAGGACATCATACATGAAGAAAGCAAAAGGTCATCAAAAAACAGAAAAGAAAGAAAAGACCAAAATGGATGTCAGAAGAGACTCTGAAACTTGCTCTTGAACGTTGAATAGCTAAAGCAAATGGAAGAAATGGTGAAGTAAAAGAGCTGAAGAAAAGATCTCTAAGGGTGGTTTCAGAAGACAAAATAAAGTATTATAATGAAATGTGCAAAAACCTGGAGTTAGAAAACCAAAAGAGAAGAACATGCTCAGCATTTCTCAAGCTGAAAGAACTGAAGAAAAAATTTAAGCCTTGAGTTACAATATTGAAGGATTCTATGGGCAGAAAACTGAATGGCGCAGGAAGCATCAAAAGAAGATGGAAGGAATACAGAGTCATTATACCAAAAGCAATCGGCTGATGTTCAACAATTTCAGGAGGTAGCATATGATCAAGAACCGATGGTACTGAAGGAAGGAGTCCAAGCTGCACTGAAGGCATTGGTGAAAAACAAGGCACCAGGAATTGACAGAATACCAGCTGAGAAATTTCAACAAACAGATGCTAAGAAATTTGGAAGACACCTACCTGGCCAACTGACTGGAAGACATCTATTCTATATTCATGCCCATTCCAAAGAAAGGTGATCCAACAGAATGAGGAAATTATCGAACAATATCATTAATATCATATGCAAGTAAAATTATGCTGAAGATAATTCAAAATGGTTGCAGCAGTACATTAACAGGGAATTGTCAGAAATTCAAGCTGCGTTCAGAAGAGGATATGGAATAACAGATGTCATTGCTGATAGATGGATTTTGGCTGAAAGCAGAGAATACCAGAAAGATGTTTACCTGTGTCTTATTGACTATGCAAAAAGGCATTCGACTGTGTGGTTCATAACAAATTATGGATAACAATGCAAAGAATGGGAATTCTAGAACACTTAATTGTGCTCATGTGGAACCTGTACACAGACCAAGAGGCAGTTATTTGAACAGAAGAAGGGGATACTGCATGGTTTAAAATCAGGAAAGATGTGAGTCTGTACCCTTTCACCATACTTATTCAATCTGTATGCTGAACAAATAATCTGAGAAGCTGTAGCCCAGCTTCTCGGATTATTTGAAGGAGAATGTAGCATCAGGATTGCAGGAAGACTCATTAATAGCCTACGATATGGAGATGACACAAACTTGCTTGCTGAAAGGGAAGAGGACTTGAAGCACTTACTGATGAAGATCAAAGACCACAGCCTTCTGTATGGATTACATCTCAACATAAAGAAAACAAAAATCCTCACAAATGGACCAATAAACAACATCATGATAAATGGAGAAAATATTGAAATTGTCAAGGGTTTCATTTTACTTGGATCCACAATCAACGCCTGTGGAAGCAGCCATCAAGAAATCAAACAACATATGGCATTGGGTAAATCTGCTGCAAAAGACCTCTTTAAAGTGTTAAAAAGCAAAGATATCATCTTGAGGACTAAGATGTGCCTGACCCAAGCCATGGTATATTCAATCACCTCATATGCACGCAAAAGCTGGGCAATGAATAAGGAAGCTCAGCTGCTAACCAGAAGAACAATTGATGTCTTTAAATTACAGTATTGGTGAAGAATATTGAATATATCATGGACTGCCAAAAGAATGAACAAGTCTGTCTTGGAAGAAGTACAGCCAGAATGCTCCTTAGAAGCAAGGATGGCAAGACTTCATCTCACGTACTTTGGGTATGTTATCCGGAGGGACCAGTCCCTGGAGAAGGACATAATGCTTGGTAAAATAGTGGGTCAGTGAAAAAGACGAAGACCCTCAACAAGATGGACTGACACAGTGGCTGCCATACGGGCTCCAACATAGCAACGACTGTGAGTATGGCACAGGATCAGGCAGTGTTTCGTTCCCTTGTACCTGGTGTTGCTATGGGTTGGAGCCAACTCAATGGCACTTAACAACAAGAAAAACAATAACCAGGTATTTGTCTTGGTTATCTAGTGCTGCTATAACAGAAGTACCACAAATGGGTGGCTTTAACAAACAGAAATTTATTTTCTCACAGTTTAGGAGGCTAGAAGTTTGAATTCAGGGTGCTAGCTCTAGGAGAAGGCTGTCTCTCTCTCTGCGGGCTCTGGAGGAAGGTCCTTGTTTCTTTGAGCTTCTGCTCCTGGGTGATTTCATGTGGCTTGCATGCCACACCCCTCCCCCATCTCTGCTCTGCTAGTTTGTTTAATCTCTTTTATATCTCAAAAGAGATTGACTCAAGATACACTCTATACTAATCCTGCCTCATTAACATAACAAACACAATCCATTCCCAGATGGGACAATAACCAGTGGCACAGAGGTTAAGATTTATAACACATAATTTTGGGAACATAATTCAATCCATAACAGTATTCAAAAGAGTCCCTGAATGGTATAAATGGTAAATGTGCTCAGCTGCTAACCAAAAGGTTGGAGGTTCAAGTCTACCCAGAGGCACCTAGGAAGAAAGGCCTGGAAATCTACTTCCAAAAAAATCAGCCATTGAAAACACTATGGAGCACAGTTCAACTCTAAAACATGTAGGGTCGACATGAGTTATAACTGACTGGCTAGCAACTCTTTTTTTTTTTTCCCAGGTGTTCAAATAGCTGTCAAATCCATAAATAGATGGATTAATGCAGGAAAGAAGGAAGGAATGATGAATGGATGAATTAGACTTTTGGGGCTGCTGCCCTGTACCTGCTGTCCCGCTGTACCCCTCCACCTTCAGCTTGTAGCGTGATCTGGCATCTCCCACGCTGAACCTGTCGTAGACAGCATAGGCTGTCTCTCCATGGTCCCGCAGGTCCACTCGGAGTTCATACTGCCCCTGGGCTGTGATTTTGCTTAGGTTGTCCAGCCCTGTGGAAGACAGGCAAGGGTTGCCGAAGAAGCACAAGTGGCTGAGGCCCTCATTTCTACTCTACCCTGCAACATCTGCAGCCGCACTGGAAAGAGGCTCGAGCTGCACAGGTCTGGGCTTGAAGCCTGGTCTGCCCCTTGCTGGTATAATGCCACGCAACAGATATCATGTTTCTGAGCCTCCGGTAAAATCAGGCTGATAATCTTTGCCCTGCCAACTTCCTATTGTATTGTGAAGATCAAAGGAGATAAGGGGCTGAAAGCACCTTTTAAATATCCCCAGCCCAGGCAACAGTGCATAGGACAGTGCTCTGGCCGAGGCAGGTTGTCGGAAAGTGTGAGTTGCCTGCACAGATGGATAATGGCATTATCCTGTTAATTCTGGAACTTTCAAATTGCACCTTAATTTGCTTATTAGTGAAATTCCTATGGACAATCAACTTAACGTGTCTGAGGCTCTGTTTCCTCTTATGCAAAATGGATATAAAACTTGCTCTGGAGGCAGGGGGTGTGCTAGGAGGTTTAGAGATTATGGATATAACAATATCCATATAGCCATGTAACCATCTCAGCTCCTAGCGCACAGGACAGAGGCGGTCAGTGATATCGCGAGGACAATTCTATAAAGAGTTTAGTGAATGGCTTAAGACCAAGCAAATTCTTAAGGCCTGGCTGTTGGTTCTCCATCTGATTTTTAATTTTAATGACCCATAGCATTGGTCAGTCTTCCTCTGAGTATACAAAATTCTGTGTCTACCAGCAGAGCTATTGTTTCCTCCTAAACCATTTCTCTCCCGTAGGCCACTGCGGGTCAGGGCAAATGAAAAGGAGGGCAGCAATGGGCATTTTGGGGCAGAACCCAACATGCAGGGCAGCATTACCCAGCCAGAATTCTTCTCTCTGGTCCCCAAATCCGGCAGTATATGCCCTCCAGTTTCGATAGAAATCCTCCTGTCCAGTGCTGCGTCTCAGGAACACCTACAAACATAACCGATGAATCTGGGTACACTTATGCTATTGAAGGGAACAGGGCACCTTTCTGAGTGGAAGAACATTGGACTGTGGTGAGAACACCAGCTCTCATGGTGCCTGGTAGATAGTAAGTGCTCAGTCAGTGCTAAGTCATATCAGTAACGGGCTCCATGATCAAAGCCAACTGTACTTCACAGGGGTGTGTGAGAGAAATTATAAAAAAGTTCCTTTCCCCCGACTTTTATCTCTAACTTCTTTCCTTTTCCTTCGTTTAATAGGTAATTATTGAGTGCTTCCATGTGGCAGACGCTATCTTGCAAAACCTGTACGTGGGTATCAGAGTACAGAGGGATGACCTGCCTCCCCCACCCCACCTCTACCTCAAAGCTCCAGAGCTCTGGAGTCCGCCTTAGTGATACTCACAATCCATCCACCCCCGTCAGAGGTCATGTCACAGTAGACTTGCAGAGCCTGGGCCTTATCGCCATTCAGATAAATGGTGTAGAGGCCAGAGGTCGTGTCTCCATTTAGCATTGCTTGGGAGCAGTCCCTGGGGAATGGGTACAGGAGTCCGGCTGTGGGATAAAAAGAAATAGTGACTCTTTCAGAAGCAGGAGGATTGGGGTAAGAATTTTCACATGGCAGCTCCACTGCTTATCGGTGAGATTCCTATGGGCAAGCAACTTAACCTCTCTGAGGTTCTGTTTTCTCGTGTGTAAAATGGGATAAAACCTACTCTGTGGGGGTGCTAGGAAGTTTAGAGGTTATGTAGATAAAGGACCCATCTCAGTCCCTTGTATTGATGGAAGCAGTCAATGATATCAGTGAGAGAAGAGCTGAGCACTGTGAGCAGCATATGCCTGGTCAACCTTGACTTCCATGGAGCAGCCATGTAGCATCGGATGAACACCAGGGGTCCTGGTTGGCAAGGCTGGGCTTCTAACATATGGTCAGTGGCCCACTGTGGATCAGGGCCCTTGATTAGGGTACAGGATGCTTTGAAAATGTGATAAAAAATTTGGATCTTTGATCTCCCCAAATACATTTTAATCCATGATACAGTTGCATCTCAGCCTCTTCAGAGGACTCTGAAGTCAGAGACCAAGGTTCTAGTCCTGAACTTGCCACTTCCTTTCTGTGTGACATTGGAGAAGTCATTTAACTGCTCTGGACCTTGGCATTCTTAGAGGGATAAAACAAGAATGCTCAGGGCATTCCCAAGTGCAATAATGTGACAGGAGAAATTAAACCTGTGGGTAGAAATGGACCACCAGGGGCTGTGTTCAGTAGGTGCCTGAGAACTGTCGGCCAGGGCAGGTTTTTTTTTGATCTGATACCTCATCTACTCTGCTTTACCTTCCCAGCCCTCCCCTGAGATCTATCATTATTTACTTGTTTTCTTGCTTATTTCACTGCCTAAGACTGAGGGCATCTTTAGGGCAGGTGCATATTCTTGTGCGTTCAGCACCTGGCATAAGAGCTGGCACAGAGGAAGCACCTCCCTCAGCAGATGGGAGCAGAAAGACTGTTGAGTAAAATGTGAGAAGCGAGGAGGCAGTTCTGGGATACACCAAGTGTATTCCACGTTCAGGGCTCTCCAAAGACCGGCTCACCCCTTCCTCAAGAATGGACCAACTGAACGACGTGCACATTTACCATCTGCAGTAGATGCCAAGTGGCAGGGTGCAGGGAGACGTCCCCTGACCCTGAAAGCCTAGCTCTGACTTTAACTTACAGTGTAGCCTTGAGCAGGTCATTTAGTCTCTGGGAGCCTCTGTTTCCCTACCAGGAAATTGAGCACAATAGTCCTGGTGGCCGTACCAGCTTGCTGGAGGACTGCTTATGCTTATGAATGTAAAAGATCTTTATAAACTCTGAAGTGCTGAAGGAGAGGGGAAGGGACATTGAACTTATAATGAGCCCTGACAAAGGACCACTTACTGGGCTAGGAGTTCAAAATACAATACCTCATCTCATCCTCACAAGATTCTTGTGAGGAAGGGATGATTACTAATCCCGTTGTATAGATGAAGAAACCGAGCCTTGTAAAATGGAAGTAACTTTCCTAAGTTACACAGAGCAAGTCGTGAAGATGGGGATTGATCCGGTTGTGCTCACTACTAGTCCTCCTTGCCATTCACCATGGTGCCCATAACCTTCTCCATCCACACTCCTTGGGCTTCCAGGTTGTTGTTAGTTGATTCTGACTCACAGTGACCTGATGTGTGCAGAGTAGATCTGTGCTCCACAGGGCTTTCAAGGCAGTAAACTTTCGGAAGCAGATCGCCAGGCCTGTCTTCTGAGGTGCCTCTGGGTGGGTTCAACCTGCTAACCTTTCAGCTAGTAGTTGAGTGCTTAACTGTTTGTGCCACCCAGGGACTCTGGGCTTTCAGGTAGTAGCAGGGTATTGAGCCTTTTAACAGATGTATTTGAAAAATTTAAAGTAGAGGTCAACAGGGAAGTGGAGGGTTGACTAAGTCTCATAAAGTTAGTTTCTCAAGGCTTGGTCACTCCCCAGGGCCTCCTTACTTGTGGTGAAGATGGTCTGGATCTGCTTGCTCCTCAGGGGCCCATTCAATGCCTGGATCTTGGCCGTGTAGTGGGTGGATGGACTTAGCTCTGCCAGGTTGTAGGAGGTGGTGTCTGGACCCACAATTACTTCCTACGGGCAGGAGAAAGAAACAACGATAGCTTCTGACCCCAGAAATTCTCAGGGTAGACAGTGCATGCATTCATTCATTCAGCCCTCCATTCATTTATTCATTCAACAAAAATCTACTGAGTACCCACACTGTGCCAGGCCCCATGCTGGGGTGTCAGAAATGGAGAGGGTGCATCATGAGCAAAGGCCCTGTGGCCAAAAGAGGCAGAACAAATTAAATAAGATGAGGAGGCAATTATCTCAAGCATATTTGGTTTCAGGTTGGGGAGCAGTGGATGAGGTTGGCAAAAGCCAGATTACAAAGGTCCTTAAATGCCAAGCTATGGAATTTGAAGTTTATCACTGTCAGGAATGGGGACCCCCAAAAGATTTTTGAACAAGTGGTTGAAGGAACCCAGCTATACTTTAAAAAGCTTCATCTGGTGGCAATATGAATCTCACAGGGGGCAAAGGTCTAGACTTTGAGACCAGTTAGCTAAATGGCCCTCAGATATGGCTCTCTATCATAGTCCCCTGTGAAGCTTTAAATCCATATGATGCCTGTGCCCCATCGAGACTGACTGAATCCTAACAGCCAGGAGGGGGACCAGGCCGGCTGTGTATTTAAGAAGCTACTGGATGATTCTGATGTTCAGTCACTTTAGGGATCTCTTGAGTCAGCGGATGACTAAAATAACCCAGTAGATATGGCAAAATGAAGGCCTGAGCTGGCCCAGTGTGTCTCCTTTCTAGAACAGAGATATCGGGGTGAGGCAGATGTGTGCACCTGCCACCAAGACTATGCTCACTACTTTGGTAGCTTGTGGCTGGTTGCTGTGCTGCTGCCCCGAGGAGGTCATTGGTTTCAGTTTGCAGGAGATCCGCTTTCTTTTTAAATTTCCGTCTAGCTTCCAATTCCTGTGGGATCACCGTTTAGCAGATGACCTTGGTGTCTGGGATTGAAATTCAACCTACACTCCTCTTAAACCAAACACAACACGGCTCTCTACAACCAAAAACACAGCAGACTGGATTTAGGCGGTGGCAAATGAACTCAGAAGCCCTGAGAAGGCTCCCCCGCATCCTTGGAGTGGGGCAGGTATGTTATCCTGGTTTTTCTCATGGGGGAATTAAGTCTCAGAGAGGCTAAAAGTTTTCCTCTAGCTTCATAATTTGTCAGTGGCAGCGGACGGCCTTGCATTCTGGCCTCCCGATACCCTGTCCAGGACTCTTTCTCCTACACCAGGTCAATTATCTTGAGTGAGACATATAAAACTGGGGATTGGATATGCAGGGAAGTAAACTGGGGTGAGTGCCCATTTAATACCAATGACCCGGTGACCTTAGGGAGGCTCCTGGTCTGGTCCCTTGGGGAAGGATCGATTACCAGGTACAAAGCTGGGCTGATCAAATTACTTGGGGATCCAGTTACCTGTCAGCTGTTTCAGCTGCTGTGCAAAGCCCTTTCCAAGGCAATTAGGGTAAATTGGAATGAGACTCATGGCTTAGGTAAACCCAGAATCCTAGAATGCCTGACCAGTAGGGGGCCTTAAACTCAGTGAGTTTTATTTCTCATTTTACAGACATGAACACTAATACCCAGAGAAGGGAAGGACTTCCTTAGTTCACACAGTGAGTTAGTTCATTGTTGGACCAACTCCAGAAAGGGATATGATAGTATTATGGACTGAATTGTGTCCTCACCAAAGGCATGTTGAAGTCCTAACCTCTTACGCCTGTGAACATGGTTAAAATGAGAGAGGGTACAGCATGTAATTCAGAAAGTCTGGCATATAGCGCCAAACCAGGCCAAACAAAACCCACTGCTGTCAAGTCAATTCCGACGAAGTGACCCTATAGGGTTTCCAAGGCTGTAAATCTCCACAGAAGCAGACTGCCACAGCTTTCTCCCGCAGAGCGACTGGTGACTGATGGTTTCGAACTGCCAACCTTTCAGTTAGCACTTGATTGCCTTAACCACTGCGCCACCAGGGCTCCTTGGCATATAGTACGGTCCCTACTAATTTTTTTTTTCCCAGCCCCCCAGTTGCCCTGGGTGGAAAGATAGCACCGGGATAATTCTTCCCTACTCTGGGGATTATGAAAATGCTTCAAAGAGCAGTAGGGAGTTGTTTATATACTTCAAGATACCTTGACTGTCCCATCCACGGATTCATAGACCAGGAGGTAACCAGTTACAGGTGCCTGGGGGCGTCGCCACGTGAGGAGGGCGGTTTCTGACTGCACCTCAGTAGCGGTCAAGTCTCTTGGAGGATCCAGGTCTGCAGAAGATAAGACAATTAATATCAAATAAATCAGCAAGTATAGGACAAAAATCCCTGGCTAGGTATCAGGAGGCCTGGGTTCAAGTTTTTTTCCCTATTTGACCTTGGGCAACAACCTTTCCCATTTGTAAAGGAGGGGGTTGAGCCACGTGATCTGCAAAGGCATAAAGTCTATGTGGTTCATCTCGGTTTATGGGCAAGTTTTCCTGAGCTCACCATGGTCTTCATTGGTCTTGGTTGGATTTTGGGAGAAAGACACAGCTGTGAACACAATTACCAACCACCCTTGTTTCTAAATAAAAGGACAGACGAATGTTATATTGATGCTCACGCCTACTGAGAGAACGTTTCTCCCATTTCTTTGCTTGCTGAAGTTTGTAAAAAGATCTCAATGTATAAAAATTCAATCGGCATGTAGGAAAACTAGCCTGAAAAATCTCTTAAAAAATGTTTCCTTGTCTAGAACATGGATCATTAAATATTGGGGGACTGGTTTTCCACTTAAAAAGCCTTCCTCTTAAAATCTTTTCCTAGTCTGTAGGGAGAACAAGGTCATTTCAGCTCAAAAGGAAATGATGTGTTTCTTAAGGGCTTCAGTGAGTGGGCACTGGTGAATTTAGCTGCTGTTGACGTCATCACATTGCAAGAACCTGACTTCAGAAAGAAGAGTTGGGAGGGTCACTGTTTAAGATGGAGGCTGTGGGTGGGTGTCTCAGAAAGGAGAGATTCCAGCTCTTGATTCCTTCCTACCTGTTGTGAACTTGGTAGTGATGACTGCGCTCTTCTGGGGTCCTTTCTCTGCAAAGATTCTCAGTGTGTATTCCGTGGCAGGCTGGAGGTTGGTCAGAGCATACTCCACTGTGTTCCCAGACACCGTGTGTGTAATTCCTGGCACTAAACAAGAAATACACATACTAGGCAGTTACCTCTCGTGGTCTGAACCATTGGTGGACTTGGCAAAGAGCACACACACCTACTTCCAATACAGAAACTTTCAGTGACCCTGCAGAAAAGCAGATTTGATTTCTGCAATGACTCACACTCCTTTCTCTCTCTTGAGTGCTCACCTCATGTACAAGGATTTATCATAGGGAGACTAGATTTTTCCAGGCACTAAATCAGAAGGAAGGGGAACTGGGGGTCAGGAGATTTTTTCCACATGGTACCGGCTGGAACAGCTCTGCAGCTGAGACAAGAATGAGCTAGAGGAGAGTTGCAGGTAACATCTTCAAGGCTTGGGCTCTTCAAATTCCATTTTTCTTGTTGCTCACTGTCCTTTCTTTTACTTGCTCTCAAGTCCTTTTATAATTTGCCAAATTTTGTCACATCATTAAGCTGAGGGATCACACAAATCAGGTGACAGCAGCCACACCGGGGCCTGGTTACTACCTCTCAGCCCCACCACATCACACCCAACCGTGGAAATGAAGCCATGGTGCCCAGGTGTATTCATTTATTTCCTAATCATAGGTGACCAATCGTCTGGTTTGCTGGGGACTGAGGGGTTTCCCAGGGTGGTGTTGTTGTTAGCTGACAACAACAATGGGATGAAATGATGCAGGGTCCTGGGGCATCCTCATGATCAGCTGTGGATCAGACTGTTGTGATCCATAGGGTTTTTACCGGCTGATTTTCAGAAGTAGATTGCCAGGCTTTTCTTCCTAGTCCATCTTTGTCTGAAAGCTGTGCTAAAACTGGGATGATCCCTGGCAAACGGGGTAAGTTGGTCCCCGTATCTAATTATCTACCAGCCCCTGTGGACCAGGCCCTTTGCTAGTCATGTATCCACAATTTCCATAATTCCCATGAACTATATGCTGATTTGTTTTAGGTACTGGGTTCAAGTGATGTCATCTTCTCTGACTTGGAAGAATTTACTCACAGGGAATGTTTAAGAATTGAAGAGCAAAAAGGATAAATTCATCCGAGCCCCACCTCTTTGCCCTGTCCTCACAAAGAATTCCCTTAGGTGGTTGCCAGACCTGAATCATGGTTTTCAGAGACCCTAGGTACAGACAAGATTATGGTGCCCTGTTGTATTATCACCGAAAGTAAAACAACACTAAGCCATAAAATATGAAACTTATGTAGACTTTGAAATAAAAATAGTACATTTGTTTTTTAGAGTAGCTCATTACAAAATTATGGATTTGTTCACTGAAAAAGAGTCTTCCTCCTCTCTCTCTTATTTTTATTTTATTTGATTTTACTTTCTGGTGGCCATGCTTTGCTGGTGCCCTAAGTAAGTTATAATTTGCTTGTTCAGTCAATCAGTAAAGGTAGTTGCAGAAACAAGGAAAAATCATTTCTCTTTTTAAAAGCAAGTGTGCTACAACCAGTCTCCTTTGTGGCCTCTGAGGAGCCCAGGCTCCCCAGCATTGCCTGAAACAGCCTGTTAAAGAGTTTAGATCTTGGACTCCTTCTTTGTCAGAGATGACAGCTGCTTCCTAGAGAAGGTGGCTCGCTCTAGGGGGCAGACAGACCAACAGGAGAGGAAGAACAGGCTGGGAAAAACCTGTAGGGCTGGAGATTTACTTTTTTCCCTTTAAATAGTTACTAGACTCACTCACATGATATAACTACAATATTATGCCCTTAGCTTGACAACAAGGAGAGGAGTATGGGTAAGGCCTCCCTTGCTACCCCTTGAACAGATCCTTCCACCCCACAGTCTACCTGTAGCCCCAGCCGATGAGTCTATCCTGAGGTCGTATTCAAGAGCTGGAGTCCCTGGGTGGTGCGGAGTTAACATACACAGCTATTAACCGAAAGGTTCAAGTCCACCCAGAGGTGCCTCAGAGGAAAGTCCTGGTGATGTACTTCCAAAAAATTAGCCATTGGAAACCCTATGAAGCACAGTTCCCTCTGACTCACTTGAGGTCACCATGAGTCAAAATCGACTTGACAGTAACTGGTATTCAAGACCCATAAGGATGTTACTGACTTTTCCAATCAACCCACACATTTTTGTCATCCTGTACCAAATGTGGAACAGAGAAGAGTGAATGGGAAGATTTTCCAGCAGAACAGACACTCCTCAGAGTGGGGAGAATCTTGAACAGGACCTTACCTCCGTCCCCTGTGTAGGAGATGACATAACGGTCCACGGTGGCAATGGCCGGCTGCCACATGGCCAAGGCTTCTGAGTCGGTGATGTTGGCTGTCACCAGGCCGGATGGGCCATCCAGAGCTGCAAGAAAGGTGGTGACGTGTTGAAGAGATAGGCAGTCATGGGGTAGGATGTGGGGCCACAGCTGCTCTAGTATCTGCACTGCTCGTGGACTCCTGGTATTAGGACACCGTGCCGGCTGCATGGGGTGGTTCAGAGTCCTGGACCTGAAGTCAGGCTGGGGATAATAATTCTGTCTGGCCTTACCCCAGTGCACTTTTGCTTTTCACATGAAATTATGGGTGAAAAAGTGCTGTATAAACTGAAAAAGGGCTGAACTCATGACAAAGATTATCATTATTGTTCATATCATTCCCCCCAAGGAAAGAACTCACAAAAACAGAGGAGATTTATGTAATTAAGACTGCTCGAAGCACTTTCGGGTTTTAAGCAATCTCTAGGAGGTGACTTGTAGATAACATGGAGCCAGGCTTTGAAGACTGGTGGTCCCGTGTTCTACCTTGGTGTTAGGAATTGACTTGTGTCTCCCCAAAACATGTCTTGTAAACCCTAACCCCTAGACCTGTGGATGTAATCCCATTTGGGAATAGGGGTTTCTTTGTTAAGTTAATGAGGCCATATCAGTGTAGGATGTCTTTTAAACCTAACCATTACTGAGATATACAAAGAGCAGATTCGGCACAGAGAAGCAAGCATTAGTGGGGTAAAGAGAGATGGCACCTGGAGATCTTCAAGGGATGCTGAGAAGAATGGTGGAGAAGCTGAGGAAGAGATTTACCCCCAGAGTGAACAGAGAGAGCCTCCCTCAGGAGCCAGTGTCCGGAATTCAGACTACTAGCCTTCTAAACTGTGAGAAAATAAACTTCTGTTCATTAAAGCCACTTTTTTGTGTCATTTTCATTACAGCAGCACTAGATAACTGAGACAGTTGGCTTCTCCGCCTAGTGCCCTTGGGAAAGTCACTTTCTTCATTTGTCAAATGGTGGCTGTTGTGAGGATTAACTAGACAATGTGTGTATGATATGCTTGGGGAAGCTCTCAATAATTGCAATTATTATTAATATTACTATTTAACTTATTTGGAGTCTTAGATATGACTTCTGGATGACTTATACTGAGAAGGCATGAATATGCAAAGAGTAGTTAGCTCTGGCCTCTTTTCACTGACCACTTTCACTACCCAACATCTCTTTCTTAGAAGCCAACCTCGATGACTTTTCTTGCTTTCACATTCATGACTCAATCACTCCCCAGGTCAGCCTGGGAGGATGGAGAGCAGCTACCATCAGTCATTTTTGAGATGAAGTGTCTGAGCCTCAAGAGATGCAATGACTGGCCCGAGAGTCAGGGTGTGGCTGAGTCATTTTGGGAGCCCACATGGTCCCCTCTGAGTTCCTTCCTCTTTCATCTTGCACATACAGATTCTTCTTTAACGGGTGAGGACAATTGGGCCTTGGGAGAAATTGCATTCAGCTTCTGCGATCTGTTGCCGTGGAGAATCCATGAATGAAAGATTTCTTTGGGGAAATAAGGGCCTGTGTTGCAGGGTTGACAGGACTCTGGGTCCTGATGGGATATTTTAATTGCATATTATCAAGTCTTTTAAGCTATTAGGATATTTTTAAAATTTCCTATGAGGCCCTTTCTTTGGATTCCTATAATGGATTGGACTGGGTAATTGCTCAAATATCAAAGGGTAAATTGTTTAGAGACTTAGTCGTAACAGGCTGTCTAAAGAGAAATTTTCCACTTTTTTCTCCTTCAATGCAATTCATTATTTTCCCCTCTTTGCAGTGTGCTGTACAAATCAGGTTATAATCGGAAAATAACCCTTTATTTTAGAAGGACACAGGGTTTAGCGTCAGACTGACCTAGGTTTGAATTTAGTTCCAGCACTTACTAGTTATGTGGCCTTGCACAAGGTATTTAATTTCCCAGGTCTCAGTTGTTTCCTCTGTGAAATTGGAATGGTAATAACCATGGGATTAGACCTTAAGGGTTTATCAACAGTGCCTGGAATACAGTACCAGCCAAATAGAGAGGAGCTACTTTATAGCCATAACCATTACCTGTCTAGGTGAAGCACCTGCTTCAAGGAGTCCTCACGATGGCTTTGAGAATGCAACAAGAAAGGGAAGGAGGTGATGGACTAACGTGTATAGTTACTTCTATTTATAGATGTTTTACATATACAGCTTCATGTGATGCCCCTCGTGGGGGAAACAGTGTTACACTTATTTTATAGACAGGGAACTGGACCCCAAGAAATTAACTGACAGCTCAGAGCTCACATAACTAGTAAGTGGTAGACTTGGGATTTCAACCCAGGTCAGTATGACTTACAGACTTGGGCTCTTTATTCAACAATAATTCAGAATACTGAGGCTCAGGGAGATTGAGGATGTACCTAAGGTTACCCAGCTCATAAAAGGCCAGGGATGGGGACAAAAATGAAGCCTCTGGCACTTCAAATCCAGTCTAGTAGGATTTCATAAATAAAAACTTATTTCCAGCTGCCGAGTCTTGAGCAAAAATGCTGAAGTTGGGAAATAACTAGCATGCAAAAGAGGTCTCTGCAAAATACAAAACAAAACCTGTAACGAGTGATCCTGAGACAGGTTCGCTTTCATCAAAGCCCTTCATGGCGATGACGCTGACAAAGTACTCTGCTCCAGGAATGAGTTTCGCCAGCCGGGTCTGAGTCTGGGTTCCATCCACGGTGACCACCGAGGGTGTACCTGGAACATGGGAGAAGCAAGATGGGGAATGATGAAACTTGTTGAAGCTTATTCACTGTGGCCTCCAAGAGTGGGCGTATCCATTTGGAAATGAAACTATATCTTTATCCAATGTAATTTTCTCGCCTTCTCATTTTCTCCTACCCTCTGGCGTAAGGGAAGAGGTCTTACTTTTTGTATACTTCTTTTTCCATTGGTACAGATGCCGAAAACCAAGCCAGGAGAGGAAAAAAACATGAAGTCACAATGAACTAAAAATGGCAAATTTCCGTTCAGTGGAGAGTTGGCATGTTGTGCAAATTTGATTTTCCCTTTTTTTTTCTGCGGCGAATAAGAGAAGCTCACTATGTAATGCATATCTGATCTATTTAATCCATTGTCCTGGCTTAGGAATATATAGACTCCCTCCCGGGAAATTCTTGTTACTAGCAAGAATTCTACTATTTAAGAAAAGATGAGGGTCATGTTCCAATTTGTGCTCCTATAGTTAAGAAGTCAGAGTTTATAGAATTTCAGGGCTGTGGAGGAGCTTGCAAATCAGCTGCTCAAACTTCCCATACAGATGCTACAGCATTCCTCTGAAGGGTTTACCAACCATGTTCTCTTTACAGGCTTCCAGTAACAGGAACCTCATTACTTGTCTTTAGACAGATTTGACTGTGCTTCCTCCCGGTGCTCTCTACTGTAGCTCATGGGGCCTACATACAACTCATCAGCAATTCAAAGACAAATGCCACAGCCCCCGCATCTTTTTCTCTGCAGACTAAACAGCCCAGGGTTTTTAATCTGTTCCTCATGCAGCATGGTCTTCAGTCACTGCCCTTAAAGTATGGCACCAGAACTGAACTTGCTAGCCATGGACTGACAGCCTGGAACAGAGTGAGGCTCCTGTGTTCACTGCTCATGACACTTTGGTTCTACTCATGCTGTTAGATTGAACAAGCCTTTTAGCCAGCTCCATGTGAGCAAATATCATGCTTTTGATGTTGGCCCAGGAAGCTTTGAACTAACATCCCCAACTCTGCTAAGACACAACTCCCCATCCTATACTGAGACCCATAGGTTTGGGGACCCAAAGGTAAGAGCTCCTACATATCCAGGTCAGGATTAGTTTTTCAGATAAGTGTGTGCTCAAAGAGGAAAAGGCCATTGTACTTAGAGTCTTTTGTCATTGTGTGTCAACATTATTGAGGCTGTCTTTCTTATACTTCAGACATGTTATCAGGAGGGACCAGTCCCTGGAGAAGGACTTGCTTGGTAAGGTAGAGGGTCAACAAAAAAGAGGAAGATCCTTGAGGAGATGGGTTGACACATTGGCTGCAACAATGGGCTCAAACACAGCAACCGTTGTGAGGCTGGCGCAGGACCGGACAGTGTTTCGTTCTGTTGTGCGTAGAGTCACTACGAGTCGGAATCGATTCAATGGCACCTAACAACAACAATTTCTCATAGGAGGAGTCCTGGTGGTGCAGTGGGTAAGCACTTGGCTGCTAACTAAAAGGTTGACAGTTTGAACACACCAGCAGCTCCATGGGAGAAAGATGTGGCAGTCTGCTTCCATAAAGATTGACAGCCTTGGAAACCTTATGGGACAGTTCTACTCTGTACTATTGAGTCGCTATGACTCAGAACTGACTCGACGGCAATGGGTTATTTCTCATAGAATTTTAGAATCTTAAGGTTGGAATCTTCTTATATTCACAAACTAGTTTCTTCCAAGGATCTCATAAAAAAACCAAAAAACCAAACCCATTGCCATTGAATCAAATTCTGACTCATAGTGACCCTATAGGACAGGGTAGAACTGCCCCACAGGGTTTCCAAGGCTGTAAATCTTTCAGATTGTCCCTCCTTTTTCCCTAGGAGTGGCTGCTGGGTTCAAACCACTGATCTTTTGGTTAGCCGCTGAGTGCTTAACCATTGTGCCACGAGGGCTACTAAGGATCTCATAGCATTTTACAAATGGGCGCTCTCCAAAATAAGGAAGTAGTTTTCTTTGGCTATGATGTTGGGAGGATGTGAGTTACCAGTCTTTGTTGCTATTCCACCCAAACCCTCTAGGCTGCTCCCCACTTCAAGTCCCTTACCTCCAGCAATGGGCACATAGGTAACCCGGAAGCTCTCCACCTGGGCAGTGGGTGCCTTCCAGCTGACGGTGGCTGAGTTTTCAGTGATGTCTGAAAAAACGATGTCCTTTGGGGAGCCCATGGCTATCAAGGAAAAAGCACAAAAGAAACCCAGAAACAGTTAATGATCTTGTTCATCAGTGATTTGTCCTGGAATCCTTATCCAAGATAACTTAGACTCTACAGTTTGTATCTGAGCCAGGCCTTGAGAAAGGAGAATGTTGTGATCCACGGTCAAGTTATGACTTGATAGAAACCACTGTTGTTCGTTCAGTACAGGGACCCTTGCTGTACAGTAGCTAGTAGGTTTCATTCAAGGGGAATCTTACCACCACAGTTGAGTTCTAATGAAATGAGGGAGAGCGATTTCACAGGTTGGAATATGCCCCCCTTTTATTTTTGATATTAAGCATATTTTCAAATCTTTGCTTTCTAGTTCCTTTTATTAAATAATGCCAAGACTCGACAACTGTAGAGTTCTTTGCAATTTATAAGGTCTTTTCATGTTTTTCTTTACTTGATTCTCATATAGAAACCCCTGTGAAGATATGGTTGTAGCCATTTTAGAGAGGAGCAAACTGAAGCTCAGTTCCCCAATGAACATGCTTGAGATGTGACCTTTCTGGGTCCCAGGACTGGGCAGCAGAGTTGAACACAGCCTTGGGATCCTGGAAACAATGTTCACATGGAAACTAACCTCGACAAACCCCTTCCCAGAATTGAAAGGAGGTCCAGAGCCAAGGGCACGACCTCGGACTCGTTACCAAAGCAAATAATCAACAAACACTGGGTCTACCTGGTGGGAAAGCCATGCCCAGGAGGCAGTTTCTGCTCCCTAATTACCTCTGCTCAAACCCAGTTTCCTTTGGCTTTTCTCTATGTAGTTTTTGGCTTAGATTTTTGCCCTCTTCAGCTGACCAGGCCTAACGAGAAAATCCAGGAAACAATTTTCAGATCTCCAGGGAGCTCACTTCCTCATCTTTTCCCCTCTCCAGCCCACATTGATCGTTAAGTTCTGAAACCCACAGCCCACTTTGGGGTGGTTTCTTTTCCCTCATTTCTTTTTCTCTCATCCAAGACATCTCCTCCTACAACAACGTCCTGTGACCTGGTAGCCACCCCCAGACTCTGTGGGTGCTGCATGTTTGCCCTCTCCTTGGAAAGTTTTGGAAACCACAGGGCTCTGGCGCTTGGAAGATCTCCATTGTCCAATACCACTGAGAGCTTGAGCAACCTCGACCAGGTCCCTTCACTTCTATGAGCCTCAGTTGGCCCATCTGCCCAGTGGGAAAAGTGGTTTCCACCCACAGGGATGTTGTGACACTTAGACGAGATAATGGAAGTGAAACAACTAGTGTAGCATCCGGTCCTCACTAACAGTTCAGTAAACACAGTTTCCAGACTTGTACTTTCCCATGTGGTGCTTTCTTCTGTGGGCTGCCCTGGGTTTTGAGGCAGCCTCCAGGAAAGACGCATGTAAGGCCATCTGAGAAAGACACCCCAATGAGGTGTATAATAAACTCAAGAACTGAGGGCTCTCCTACTGCCAGCGTGGGTCACTCTGACTTCAACTCTGACAGCAAATCCCACTGATGCATGTTTTGACACAGTTTAGAAGGTGTATCTTATGACCACAGTTTTCCTTTCTAGATCCCAGGCTTCTCATTCTCAAAATGGCAATGATCTCTGCCTTCTCTTACAAGCCTTAAGAGTTATTGGGGCATGTAGTGGTAAAAATGGCAACAGGAAGATAGTTGTGTGTAACCTGAAGGAATGGCACATTATTGTTGGAATTCCAGGGTCAATGAGGGTGGCATTTTTTGGACACCAGGCCTTCCTTGGTGTGGAAGACTAGTTGTCTCCTTCTGCCATGAATAGGGTTCCCAAGTCCCCAGCCTCACAGCAGAGTAGAAGGCCAACTAGAACCTAAACATGAAGCCTCACAGAGCAATGAAATCACAGTCATTGGAAAGTTGCAGAGACCCATGTAAGGCAATGCCCCATGTCTCTCTTTCCAAGGGGACTGCTGGTTTTCAAAAAACTCCATTAAGAAAACGTCTAGAATTGCTACAAACTCTCAAGGATGTTCAAGTGGGCTGCTATCTGCTCTCTGCAAAAAGAGTCAATTCCTAAAATCTGGAGCAAAAATCCAAAAAACCAAACCCACTGCCATCAAGTCAATTCTGACTCATGGTGACAGGGTAGAACTGCCCCATGGGGTTTTCTTGGCTGCAATCTTTATGGAAGCAGATTGCCAGGGCTTTCTTTCATGGCACTGCTAGATGCATTTGAAGTGCTAACCCTTCGGTTAGCAGCCATGTGCGAACCATTTGCGACACCCAGGGACCTCAAAATCTGGAGTACGTGGCTTTCATTATGTGAACATTTTAAATACTATATTTCCCCTTTCAACACATTTTCATTGAACACTTAACATGTGTCAGTTTCTGTGCTGACCTAAGGGGACAGCTGTTGTAGCCAATATGGTTTAAGAGCAGGGATTTTGGAGTTAGACTGATCTGGGTTTGAGGACTACTTCTGGCCTTACTAACTGCAGACACCTCTACCCCTTGGGTCTTAGTTTCTGCATCTGTGAGATGGGCCTGAATGTGGTACTCAACTTGTCTGGCTAGGTCATGGAGATTGAGTGAGGTAAAGTGTGTCAGTTGCCTTGCTCTATGTGGCATCGAGTATGTGTTCTACAATTGCTTATCATCTTTGTGCTTCTTAGCGGGAAGCGTGTGAATCAGAGCCAGAGGCACTGAGCACAAAGAGGCTGGTTCAGAAGAAAGAGGACTGGCAAGCATGTTTCTCTGCAGGCCCACTGAACCATGCCCCTGGGCACAACGCCATTGTGACTCTGTGGTGTGTGGTCTCTAGTGCATCTGAACTGGAACTGAGCTGAGACTTGGATGGGAAAGGCAGTGCAGGGAGGGGACACATTCTGGGAGTTAGGAGGAAGGTCTTGCCAGCATTGATTTCTGGCTGGAAGACAGCACCAGTAATGTGTGTCTGGATGTGAGGATGGAAGAAGGTTAAGAAAGCGTTTCTGGCTACTCTTTCTAGACTCCTAGGTGGGCTATAGGAAGCGCCAGAGGAGAATGACAAAGTAGTCTTACCCTGTTGTTGGAATTTCTTTCCTATTTTCTGTCTATTCTGCGGACACTCCAGATGGTTCACAGAGGAAGTTGGCATTTAATTCTTTGGAGGCAAAAGAAGCTCCTGGCAACTCTGAGCCTCCCAAAGAGGGACCAAGACTATTGTAAAGAAATGGCTCAAACTACAGAGGAGAAGAGGAGCCATTGCAAATGTAGAGATTGACAGATAAAGGGAACAATAAAAATAATAATCTAAATGTCCATCAGTTGGGCAAGAGTTAGATACTGTGTATGGGATTATCTCCAAGATCTACTAATAATTAAAAATAAAGCAAAATGTAGAGGAATGGGTAATTTGTTAATGGTTGTGCCAAAAAAGGTAAAAAAAAAAAATTTGTATCTAATTTTGCCTACTTATATAGCACATTTTTGGAAGAATACACAAGAAATTGGTGACTTTGGTTGCCTCTGAACAGGGCAACTGGGTGGCAGGGACACAGTAGAATAAAGATTTCATGGTATATTCTTTTTTAACTTTGATTTTGAACCAAGTGGCCCATTAAAAATGAACTTTACATTAAATAACCCAAACATAATAATAGCTAATATTCTTACGATGGAGAAGAAAATTATGCTAACAACTTGACATTTACGATCTAAGTTAACCCTCATGGCTGACCTTTGAGGTAAGGTCTGTTTTACAGATGAGGGAACTGAGGCTCAGAGGGGGAAAGAGACTTGCTCAAGTTCACACAGATGGTAGCAAGCAGAGTCAAGATTAGACTCCAAGGATCTGTCCAGAGGCTGCACACATAACCATCAGGCTATGCTGCTTCCAACTATCCTATCTGCCACCCCAGGGCACTCAGGGCTGCAGCCTGTGCTCAGAGAGTGGGGCCTTGTAGGGAGAGGAAGGGCTGAAGCAGCTCATTACCAGGACAAAGAAGAACAGTCATCACAGGGAAGGGTCTACAACTGTGCAAAGGAGGAAAGAGAGAAGCAGAGAAAGGACGGAAAGCTAAAGGGAAACTTCATAAAGATAATGAAGTGAAGGTGGAAATTAGACACCTGCTTTGCTGGAGAGTCACCCATCCTCTTCCTAGTACACCTGAGTGTTCGCGTGTAGGCACACACATGTACACACACATTCTCTTTGGCTGTGAAATACGGAGCCCCAGTGAAGGAAATCAAAGAGAAGGCTTTCCAAAAGAACAGGGTCTGCCTTTTCTTCTTTTGTTTCTTTTGTTCTTAAAAAAACCCAAAAACCTCATGATTGTTCATTCTCTTTTTTGCTTTAAAACTGCCGGGCCTCTGGGGTGGGGGGAACCCAACAAGACAAAATCAGTGATCAGAAGTAAACTTTGAAAAGTGCTGTTTATAAACCAAGGTCAAAATCAGGCTCTTCATCTGCTCTGGAGTTGTTTTATGGGCAGCCATAGGGAGAAGGAGCTGAGGGCCCATGTCCCAGGGATGGGGTGTCTCTGCTAACAAGGAACAGGGCTTCTCTTCTGACTAAATTAGTGCCTGCATCTCAGCATTTGCTCATCTACAAATATTATAACTTCTACAAGTGGCTTCTTGGAGCTCGTTAGGTTCTGAAACTTGACATATTAAAATACCCATCTTTAGACAAAGTGGAGTTTTGGCTAATCTTGTGCAGGGCGCTGGTGGCGAAGTGGTAAAGCATTTTGCTGCTAACCAAAACGTTAGCAGTTCCAATCCACCAGCCACTTCTTGGAAATCCTATGGGGCAGTTCTACTCCATCCTGTAGGATCGCTAAGAATTGAAATCTACTCAACAGCAACAAGTTTGGTTTTTTTGGGTTTGTATTCCATACCTGCCAGACACATCAAGTACATATATTCATTGGTTATCTGTGCTCCAGCCAGCTTATATTTAGTACTAGTAAAATAAGTTGGCCATTTGAGTTCTACTCCCAGTCTAGTTGTGTGACCTTAGGCAAGTCACTTCACCTTTCTGGACCTCAGATTCTTCAAGCACTAACAGAAGAGACTGAGCTACACCCTGCCTTTTCCTTCACTGATCACAGTACTGATCATTCAGGTATAGCATTTTATATGTATTAACTGTATAGGTGGTGGTACCACTGTCCGTCTTCCCCTGTAGGTTGTGGTTAGAACGTTTGACCAAAGAACAAGGAGGTGTGCCCATGGATAAAATATGAGGTAATAGGTAGAAGGAAGGGTCTTCGGAATTTAAAAAAATGTGATGATTAAAACGATGACATATCAATGATAATACTGAAAATGCAAATAGCTCTCAGTTGCTTCACCCTTGCTATGGGCCAGGCCCTTCGCTATGTGCTTTACATGAATTATCTCATTTAATCCTCACAACTCTGTGAACTAAATGGCATTACTCTCTTTTTGAAAAAAGACTTAACCAAATTGTCCAAAGTCACACAGTTTATGATTGAAAGAGCTAGGATCTGAACCCAGGTTGTCTGGATCCAAAGCTCTTGTAGTTACCAAGCCCTTTGAGAAGGAGACCCCCAAGTCATGACTTTTCTGTTCTCTCTGGTTTATTTACGGTACCTGTTGTCGCTATGGCACTGACTGGCTGAGATCGCCTTCCACTGCTTATTCCATAGAGTTCAATTTCATATTCAGTGGCCTCTCTGAGACCTGTTATGTCCCTGGTACGTTCGGGGGCAAGGAGGGTTATTTCCAGTGGCTCAGACTGCTTTTTTGTATCTCTGATTTTGAGAACAAAACTGTCGAAGACTCCATCATCAGCTGTCCAGGACAGACGGAAACCATCTGGGGTGGCATCTGAAACCAGAAGGTTGTCAACTTCTGGCTCAGCTTCTAGAAGGGGAGAAAATGGTGGCAGAAGGAGGAAAGAGAACATCATTTACCAGCCAGTGCGATCTTCTGCCCAGAGGGGCTATCAGTATGCAGTGATGCCTGGGCTCTCAGAGATAGAAGTGTCCTGAGATACCAAAAATAAAATGATTCAACATTAACAAGTCTAGGAGGGTTAGGAGAGGAGAAAGATGAGTTGACACATTTGATACAAGCCAAATGTTTGCTTCCATATGTGAGTTTTGTCTAAAAGTAATTCTATAAATCCACATCTGGACTCAGCATTGGACCCTCCCATGCAATATTAAACAAGTTCAAAGCTAGTAACTTGTTTACATTTGCTCTCTGTCTTCCAGTGGCCGAGTGCCCATCCTCTGTGAGACCTTTTTCCTTTCTTTTTGAAAAGACAAATAAACCAGCATTAATGATCTGTAGAGCTGCCCATAATGACACTGCTGATTATATTTCTCTGGAGCCTGAGCAAAATGGCTTTTCAAATGTTATGGTCCTTTTGCTTTGTTCTTGGAGCTCTACTAAAGAAGGCTACTAAAGACAGCTCTACTCTTGACTTTCTCCCTTTTTTTCCCTTTTCTTAGCCATCAGGTAAGTGTTCAGATGGTAGAACTGAGGCTTAGAACCTCTTGTGCTACATATTCTGGACCCAAGGTTTCATCTTAGACTACCTTAACTAGACAAAACTCAATGTCAAAGTAAATTTAGAGCTGAGTTTCCCAAAGCGTGCTCAAAGCAAACAATTCTTCTTCCTTAAAAGGTAGCCATTGTCAGATAAGTTTGGGAAATACAGCCTGGATAAGTCCCTCTCGGAGACACAACGCACATTAGGATGTTCTGAAAAGCTTCGTGGTCAAGAGTCCTGTTTAACTTTGTTTAACTCAGTGTTTCCAAAACTTATTTGAGAATGGAATTTATTTAGCAAGTAGGACCTCTGAACATTCTGTGGAGCTAGTGATCTCTAGAAAGACTTTGGGAAACACAGAGTTTTGACTGTTACAGTTGTTAATATTTCTTTAAGAATCATTAGTCTTGAGAAAGTTATGGATTTAGTCTGTGTTAAGACTCTCTCTGATATTACTATTTACCAACATACTAAGTCCACATTTGATCTCCAGTAATGAGCCCACTGATAAGTTTGTCAAGATCATAGTTGAGACTTTGAGATGGCAACTGCTTTCAATAAGTTTTTGAAATATACTCATCCGTATATTTCTTTTGAGAAGGCTGAAATGCAGCTGGGGACCAGCCAGGATGAACACAAGGGAGGGAGATATGGAGTAAGCACATAAAAGCTATGGACAAGACATCTTCTAAAGGATTTGAGACACCAAGTAGAAACATTTCGACCTTCTCGTGTCTGAGATGGGAGGTGAGTGTTCATTAGATACATAAGACAAGGGATAGTGTGGAGGAAACACAAAAGAATAGGCCACATCTATGGATTAAATAGGGGATATGGACAAAGATGTTAAAATAATGGTGATCTGGTAGACAGATTACACAGAAGGGGACCAGGAAGAGGAGAGAATGGCTCACTTGAATTGAAATACCTGTAACAATCTCAGCCCTCAAGGGCCTGGTTTGGTGCCCTTGTGTGAAGCCAGAGACCATAACCTCATAGCCAATGCCAGTTATGAGGCCTCTAAGCTCCAGCTTCCTCTGGGTTCCTGAAAGTGTGAATTCCTGGGGGTCCAGCAGCTTCCCAGAATCCACCACCGTTACTAGGAAGCTGTCAAAGGCATTCTCCGATGCCATCCAGGAAACTGTGAACCCGTAGGGATTAATGTCGGAAATGGTTAGGTTTTCCAGAAGGGGCAGAGCCTCTGAAAGAAGGGAGGGGTGAAAATAACTCAAGTTAGCAGCAATGACTCTGCCAGGATAGCACAAGTCTCCAAGAACATTGATACCCGATCAATCATTAAATGTGTTATATGCTTAGAAAATGAATATTTAGTGACAGCCTGTCAGGTGCCAGATGGTGTTATCTTGTGTAATTTTCACAACAAGCCTATGAGGTAGGTTGTTTCCATTTTACAGATGAGAAAACTGAGTTTCAAAGAGGTTGATGGACTTGGCCAAAGTCATAGAGCTAGTATGTGATAGAGTCAGATTTTTAGCCAGGTCTGATGCTGAAGACCACAAACTTCTCCTTACACAAACAGGAGGATATCTTGAGTTGGGTTTGGACCCCTTTCTCTACTTCCACTTGAAACAAATCAGCTTTGTTTGCAGTTATACTTCCTTTTTGGTACCCTTCGTATATTTCTATCCCATTTCTAGTTCACATTTTGAATCAAGCTGAGTAGGCCAATTAGTCACACACATCCTCACAAGCCGAGATACAGAAAGGTAAGGTGATAAAATTTTTCATGTATCAGAATCAACAATTTATGGCTATGGCCCATTGAGGGATACTAAGATTCGTTAATTCTTTTGCTGCTTGTTTTCCTGGATAAAGTTAGGAGACAAGGGCATATCTGGATCTTCAGTAAATTCTATCATCATTATTTGTTTATTCATTCACCAAGCATCTGTGTCCCAAGTACCCCTATTTCTCAGGTATTCCAGGGGATCTTTTCACACATTAGAGTTCCTAAAAAGAGTGAGCTTATATCAGCTAAGTTTCTCTCAATACTTCTCAGTTTTCAAGGCTACACATCCATTGTCCTATTTAACCCTCACAATGATACTATAAACAAACAAGCAAAAAAACCCAAACCTGTTGCCATTGAGTCGATTCCAACTCATAGGGACCCTATAGGGTAGTGGATATTGCTATTCCCCTATCCCTTTCCCACCAATGACACCTAAGGAAACAGAGAGGTCAAGTGACTTATCCAAGACCACGCATCTAATAAGTGGCTAAGCTGAGATCCAACCTGGGTCTTCTGACTCCATGTTCAATGTTCTTTCCACACCCCAAGTCAATGTCTAATTAACAGGCCCCACCAGAGTTGGCAGATCCTGAGGGTTAAGCAGGATTAGTGGAGAAGGTAAATGAAACACAGTAATGGTGAATGTATTTTTTTTTTTTTTTTTTATCAGAGGGGGCACGGGGACAGAAATTACAGGGCCAAGGCTACTTTAGCTGCATACAGTTTAGAGCCTGCACTTCCATTGCAGCTAAATGGAAACTTACAAAGAGGTAAATGACCTTACCCTAATGCCCAGAGTCTAATCCATGAGAAATAAAGAAAGATGTTTTAAAAATAAGTGTTTGGTGACTGAATGAACAACTGAATGAATACCCTCAGCCCCTAAGCACTGATTTCAATTTTGCTGTGGCTTGGACTTCCTGTACTTATTTTGAAACTCTTGGTGTTTATTTTGAGGCATTTTTTTTCCCCCTACAATGAAGATCTACAAAGAAAGAATCATAACTCTATCAAAGGCAAAGATGAAATCACATATACTGTACAAACAGGCTTCTTTATCTGAGAGACAAGGGTCTAAAATTCTGTTACTGAGTTTGTTTAGATAAGCAGCGCCTCTCTTTAATAGCTTGGCCTCTTGGCACCTCCACCCCATCAAAGCGGCAAATTCCGATCAAAATAAGGGCGTTCAGGCTAATTAGTAAATCAAGGGCTTGTTATTTATAATCTCTCTTATTCAATTTTTCCTTTTTTTAATATGCTTCTTTTAAATGAAAAGTCTTTTAAAATGAAAAGTCTTTTCACATCATGGATTAGCTGACACAATGCTGTAACCGGATCTTGGATTCCCAAAGCCTGGGCTCTCCCAGGCTCCTTTTCTTCTCTCTGTTCTGCGCAAGGTCGTGCAAGAGGCTACAAGCAAGGGCTGGTGGGATCCACGGCCATTCCTCTCTTCCTGGGAAGTGAGATTCTCATCTCATGGTTACCCCTTTTATCTGCCTAAGAAATTGCCATTTCCTGCATTTAGAGGCTGATCCAAACAATTTAATTTACATTAAATAATTGGACAGGAAAAAGAACTACTTTCAAAGTTGACATTAAAACAAGCCCAATGTTCTCTTAAAAATAACAGGAAAGTCATGATAGCACATGTCTACTGTTTCCATCTAGTCTTGTAGGTTATTTTTAAGAACACAGCTTTCCTCATACTGTTGGGAGAGAGCAGAATGGATCTGTTGTTTTCATTGTTAGGTGCTGTTGAGTAGATTTGACTCATAGCAACCCCATGTGACAGAGTAGAACCACCCAATAGGGTTTTCTAGGCTGTAATCTTTACAGGAGCAGATTGCCATGTCTTTTTCCTATGAGCTGCTGGGTGAGTTCGAACTGCCAACCTTTTGGTTAGCAGCCAAGCACTTAACTGTTGAGCCACCAGGGCTCCTGGGAGCCTAGTAAATTCCATCATATCCATTTAATCCCTGAGACAAGGATATGAGATGTACCTGTAGGTATCCTCTCTTCATACATAAGAAAATTGGGATTCAAAGAAGTTAATAGATTTGCCAATAATATGTAGCAAAAAAGTGGTGGGTGGGGATTAGAAACCACACAGACCTGGTCTCACAATCCTCACTCTTCCAGGATACCATGCCATTTCCAATTAAATATTTAATTGCACTTATTATAAAGCAATTGCTGCCAACTCAATTCTGACTCATGGCAACCCCATGTGTGTCAGAGTCAAACTGTGCTCCACTGGGTTATCAATGTCTAATTTTTTGAAACTAGACTGACAGGACTTTCTTCTTATTTATAGCAAGCTAGAAGTTGGGAGAGACCTGGTTTAATGTGAAAATCAGACAGCAATATCAGTCCCCTGCAATTACCATTGTGGAAGGCAAAAGACTTCTACACAATTTCTGAATTTGTTCAGGCAAGAGATTTGGTAAATTGACAATTTTGCAGCCTTTGCCATCGATTTAGGATCATCTAAGGAAAGAAAATTGAACCACTTCTTCATGTAATTCAAAGTTAGAAGTTAAGTTTAATGAATGGGGTAAGGTTTACTTAAACTTGGGATTTATCTGCCATCCTACTTTGAACCGTCATTAATCTGTGGTAGATAACTATTTAAGGTAGAAATATTTTTTAAATACAGACTATTCTATTTCTGGGGCAAATAGTTTACGGACTAACTTACTTAGCATGACATTTATGGAAAAAAATTCCCATTCTAGGCCTCTACTAACTTAGAATTCACTATTTATCCAGAATCTCCAAACTTTGGGTCAGATAGCCTATAAAACTGAGCACAGAAATCCTTGAAAACTTTATATAACTACTGAGAACACCTCCTAAGTGGGACTGTGAACGACTTATTTGAAATAGTAACTGCTTTTTCTTCACTTAGAAGCATATACATGGAGCAAAGACTGTATTTTGGGTTGATTTTCCCTTCAGAATGCCTATCACCTTCTTCCCTTTTCTCTGTGTGATAATTCTAAATAAATAACCGAGAACCTTGGAATGAGTACCTGTCACGACAAAGGCAATGAGGGGTCTCATGGAGTCCCCAGCCCAGGTGGTCCCTGCCACGCTAACGTCATAGCCAGTGTTCTCCACCAAGCCCATGATGTGAGCATATTGTGCATCTCCTGAGACTGTGAGTTGCTGGGACTCATGCAGTGAGTGAGAATCACTAACATTGATAACAATCTTTGCAAAAGGCCCAGCTTGAGTGGTCCATGACACGTTGAAGCTGTCAGGAGTAACATTGCTAAGGATTAGCGTTCCCAACTGTGGCTCTGGCTCTGAAGGGGAAGGAACATGGGCAGAGAGAAACAGAGACATTATTAGAGGAAGCAGAGAAATTCTCCGGAATGTAGCTACAGAACACGAAAGCATCAATCCCTCCAAATATTTGCAGCAAAGGTAATGTATTAGGCTGTGTCTACACCAGCATTGACTATAATGCTAGAGAATATATTGCCTTCTCTGAAGGCATGAATTGGTGTGCTTTTAAGTACAGACATAACCATTTGCTAGTCATGTATGAAGAAATGCAAACAAGCCGTTAGAGTGGTAAGATGACTATAAAGGGTATTAAGGCTACGTTTTCCAAAGTTTGTAGAGGGGTACTGGCCCTGTAAGATGTTCAAGAAAAGAAAACTCCATGCTGAACTGTGTAAGGTAAACACTGAACATTATATCTCACCTTAAAGATTCACAAAGCATATTAGTATTTTAAAGACCCTAAAATGTTGGCTCTGGAAAGAAATCTATTTAACTTTGTTTAATCCAACATTTAATAAACATGTTGCTCAATGGATACCTTTTTCTAAGCATTCTTTGAACATTTCAAGGTGCCGGTGTTCCACTGAACATGCTTTGGAAAATGCTATTTTGGGTTTTCTGCACTTAGTCATGTTTTGATTTATTTGGGTTGGACAACTTAAAGGCTAATATTCATACAAGAGAAATGCTCTGGAGTATTTAGAAACTCAAAGGTATGGACTATAGAAAATCTACATATCACCCTAAATACTCTAAAGGTAAAGCTGACTTCCATTAAAAAAAAAATCCTGGTGGATGCAAAAGTTTAATGAAAATTTGAGATTAGGCATTGCATTTCCTAATTAGGAAATTCACTTACTGGATAATTTGGAAAGATGGATGGTTCTACCGAGGTTATATTTCTCTTCTCCCTTAAAGTTCAGACAATCAGTGATGACAGCGTTTAATGTAGTGGGCCCATAGAGCTAGTTTCAACTAACATGTATATGAAGGTAGCCTCTGAAATGCTTATTTATGACATCATAGTAATAGTAAAATAAGTTTGAGCCAGTCTGCATTTTAGAAAGAGGCAACAATCCAGGAGGTTTGGGATACTAGGATCAGGATTCAGCCCTGGGAAAAAGTCCTATTTTTTCTAAGGACTTGGGTATTATTTTCCTTCAGCTCTAGTATTTGGATGAAAGGAGGGACTCATCTGAGTCAACTTTAAAAGGACAATTCACAGCATAATTTGATATCATAAAGCCTCTAATGACAAAAGAATCTGACTCAGAAGCAAAGCATAGCCATATGCAATGGCATTGGATTTCCTACTTGGCAAATAGTTGGAGAAGCAAATGCTGCTACAGTTTTCAGTTACAAGATTGGCAAATTACCCCAACCACACAAAAGATAAAATCCTCCAAGTGAAAATCTGTTCGCTCTTTCCTTACACTTTGCTTTAGAAACAACCTCCCGAATTAGGGATGCATGTTAGGACTCTTCTCACGCTATCAGACAGACTGGCAGTGCCAATACATTAGCCATGCAGAGTAAGACCTAAGGTCTTGAGGTCACCTTGAGCTCCAGCTGTCTTCCCAAAAGATGCAATAAAGCTGAAAAGTGAGATGCAAGAAAAAAAAACTCAGGAAAAAAAGGTAGTTAGTGTATGGTTAGTGTGTCATACAAGCTAGGACACTCTTTTCCTGCCTCTGCTAATTCTTTGAAACAATTTCTTGACATGCTGTCTGATTCCAGGAGAGATAGACATTTTCAAAAATGTAATATTCTGAATGTTCACCACATGCACCAAGATTTGGACAAGATAATGGATGCAAGTAAGATTCGGACATTTGTGACAGATACCAGTGGGTGCCAAAACATGCTTGACAGAGGAAGTGTCAAAAAAGAGAAGTCTGTTCTCAGGGAATCTAGGCAAATAAAAGTCTCAAGAACAAGACGAGACCACTGGGTCCCCCCATGTAGTTGCTTGGGTGTGTTTTAGAGTTTCTTCTTAGCATGCTAGGGGCGCCAACATTAAATGATTTAAGATTCTGCTACAGAGAGAGAGAGTAGATCATTCTGAACAAGGAACAAAATATGGCATGCATACACCACTTTGAACATGTCATAGGCAACCCTTGATTAAAAAGACCACAGGCAGATGATAATGGTGGTATTGGAAAAGATTATTCAAGATTAGATGAAAGAATGATTTAGAAATTCAACCAAAGCAAGTCAGGTTAATGATCTACAAACAAACAGAGCAACTCCAGATGTGAGTGGATATTTAGGAAAACGAGGCTGACATTGAACTTCCTTAATTTGGGGTGAGAGTTATTTGAAAACTTTAAAGCCCTGATTTGGATGGTTCTACCAAATCCCAGAAGGATCCGGAGGAACTACAACGATAAAAACTGGGTAGCGGGTGATTTTTGGAATGCTATCCAGAGGAAGTTCAACAGGGAGTGAAGTACCCATAATGGAAATACCTGTGGTTGCTTGGACCATCAGGGTCTGAGCGTGCTGCCCGCCAATCAGCCCATGGAGGTGGGCAGTGTAATTAGAAGAAGCTTTGAGGTTGGTGATAACACAGCTGCGCGATACCCCAGGCACAGAGTGCACCACCGTCTCCTGAGGGTGGTCAGAATTCCTAACTTCTACAAGAAAGCTATCAAAGGAAGATTCCTGAGCCTTCCACGAGATAGACACACTGTCCCAGGTTACATGTGAGATAGTGAGATGGCTAAGGAGAGGTTCAGCTACTAAAGAAAGAAGAAACAAATATGAAAGCGGGTCAATTTAAAACACAAATTACTGGGTCAAAATCAAAACACGTAAGACTAAATCCATAAGGTTTTAGATTTACGCCCAACACATAAGACTAAATCTATAAAGTTTTATAAAGGAACTTGCCTGTTGTTGAAAACCATTTTGTGCCATGAGAAGCCAATATATATACTTGACAAATTTTCTCCTCTAGGTTTTTTAATGCTTTGATCTGGCTGAGATGGGAATTAGATAATGCCAAATCTCTGCCTTGTCTATGGGCAACCCCGATGGCAATCTGTAGTCTCACATAGGCTAAGGAGAGGCCCTCCCTTCACCACGGGCAACTTAGATGACAGATAATTTTGATGCTACAGTGTTAACTCTCTTCTTGGATTTCCCAAAATATGGGGCACTATAAGGAGAAATGCCCCTGTGTTTATTCCAAAAATATCCTTTTGATTTTCAGTTTGTGAGATCTTATTTATCTGTCAAGATGGCCATGACCTTTGACCAAAATATGTTAAGGCTATTTTGAATGGACAAAGCTCTCCTTTCTAAATTTATATAGGGTTCTCATCTGATGAGTAGTCACTACTCTTTCTCTTTACTTTCCCAGTTTGGAAGAAAAAAATCAATGAACTCAATTCCATTAAATCATTGGGATATTTGAGTCTTAGGAGGTCAAAGGCACTAAGAAGACAAAGGCAATAGGTTAACATAGAATATAAATTTTAAGACCTCTTTGGCTCATTCAAGCATCTTGCAAAGTCAAGGACAACTCAAGCTACGGCTTTTTAGTTACTGAAGGGTAGAATTCCTTTCTCCTGATTCCATATGGCAAACTGGACCAAACTACATTTCATATTGCGAATGTTCTGGCTGCTGATTATTTAGGCAAATGGCTTTATGGAAAGCCACCGTTTGGGCTGCTGTTGGAAAGAAATATGTTAAATAGTGCTCCAGTTCGGCATCACGGGAGAGTTAGTGCACTGCGGCTTGTGCTTCGATACACGAGGAGAGGAAGTGGCTTCGTCCTGCAAAGAAGACTCTGGAGAGAGGGTGTTAGAAATGGGAGAAGGCACATTTACCTGTTGTGGCTGTGGTACTAATGGTTTTGGTCCGGATGCTGGAAGCAAGTCCAGAGAGGTAGACAATAAAATCAGTACTAGGGGGGAGCTCTGAGATGTGGGCGGTTCGTTCAGCACCAGAGATATTATATTCCACCATCTCCAGCAACCTATTGGAATCAATAATTTCAATGGTAAAGGTCTCGAAGGCCCCATCGGTAGCTGTCCAGGAGAGATTGAAGCTCTCAGGAGTTATGTCAGAAACATTTAAGTTTCCAATTTCAGGTTTCTTTGCTGAAAAAGGAGAGGTAGGAGAGAAGAAAAAGAAAACAAATTAGTGTTAATCATTTGACTTATGTTTTAAGATTGAGTTTGTTAATAGAACTGTAGCTGGATACAAAGATCTGTTAGCTCTGGGTTACTGCCGAAATGAAGCAAAATGTTACCAGTGCTAACGAAATAGAAAAGGAGTCTTTGTTAAAAGAAAAATGTAACTGAGGAGGGTATGACAATTAGGTTTTTCAGCTCTGCGGCTGTTACACATGATCAGGCCCTGGCCAAGAGAGCCTGATGCAGGAAGACAAACTGAGTGATCTCATCAGGAATTTCTGTGCCTAAGCTCTGGATGCTTCCGGGAGCCCCACGTCAGGGATGCTGGCCATCCGTCGAAAGATAGGAGTACTGGCGGCTTCTAAACTCTTGAATTGCACCCAGGAGACCGAGATTACTTGGCTCCCTCCTGCAGGTATCTTTTGCTTTGAGAGAGCTCCCATCTGTTCAAATGAGAACGAAATAATTCTGATGCCATTACTCTACCAAGGTGGTACCTTGAGGCTTCTGATTTTGTGCCTTAAAGGGAACTGGCAATTTTGTCGGTGCAGTTCTTGGCATTTTCTTTATACTTTGGACTAGGGCCAGCCTTTCTCATATTCTATGAAAATAGCGCCTCCTCTCTTAACTGCTTCTACACGGTCCAAGAAGGCTAGTATTGCATTGCCGATCAACAGAGCTAAGCCAAGACGAGGCAGTTCAGGCAAGCCTTTTTGGCCAAGAAATAACGTTTTTTTCTTGGAGATGGTCCTGCCAATGCTTTTCTGAGCAACAGGAATAAAACATGCAGAGGGCAGGCAGAAGCAGGGTTTGAAAAGCTGGTATTTTCTGGTTAGCAAGGAAGGAGAAGACTCCTAATCTCTGACACCAACCCAACAGCTTTGGTGAGACACAGATGCACGGAACAACTCATCAGAAGTAAGAATGTCGCTATTGTTAAAAATAAAAAAAATTAAAAAACCATAAAAATACCAAAGACATCCAAACCACAAGATCTGCAGGAAAGATCAGAAATGACAGGTGATTTCTCTGATTTCTCGGAAGGGGAGGTTTGTGGAGCCAGTTAAAGAGCCCCTGTAGATCTAGGGCAGCCTCCGCTGAGCTGCCAGTTTCTAGGCATTTCAAGGCATTTTTTTTCATCAGTGTTTCCCTGTGTTTTTTACTTATCTCCTTGAGAGTTACTGAAATGACTGGGGCTGAAATGGGGATGTGTATTTGCCATAAGCAACAAGGTCCTATGTGTTCGCCCTGAAAATTTAATTGCAATAAGTGTATAAACAGGGGGGCAGGCATATGCAAAACAAAACAACAAAGCTGCCATTGAGCTTCAAACCAGTCTAGCCACACAGGAAGATAAGCAACTGAAGATGGTGTTGGGGAAGGGCTGCTCTTTTTAGCAGGCTCCTGGGGAAACACTGAATGCCTTGTAACTCGAGAACAGTGACGAGTCAACTATAATGTACCCTCCTGGGTCTGGGGCAGGGTATGTGCCAACCAAATGTCAGCACTCCAGGAAGCAGCTCTTGAGTAGAAGGGCAAAAGGGGTATCAGTTTGTTGACATTCATAGCCTGGGACATTCTTTGTGCCAGATACTGCTGTGTGTACTTCTGCTAATGAATGGCTTTCTCTTTGGTACAGTCTCCAGTTATAATTGTGTGATTTTTTTGTCTACTATTTGCTAATTTGATGTTCTAACAATGACTCAGTATCTGAGACAGTTGCCCAGAGAAGGCTAATTCAGTTCTCTCATTATACTCAGTGCATTTTAAAGAAGCATTTTATAAACTCAAGAACCACGGTACCCATGCCCTTGAAGGATTTGGAGACAGTGCAGCACCATCTCCAACTAGCAAAAGCCCCTCTAAAGTAAATAATCTGTGTTCCACCAGAACTCATATAATGGGAAAGGTGGGCTTTCAGTTATAACCAGGCACTGCAGAATTAAAACCGTCAGGCTGTCTCCTGAAACAAAAAGCCATACTTTAAAAGAGATATAGTTGTAGGATCAGCCAGGTAGAGTTTGGAGGAGAGAGGCTGGAAGGCTGGAGGCTGGGAATGGCAACATCTATCTGGACCAAGGCACAGCTCACTGGGAGATGTCAGAGCATGCACAGCTAGCAGCTGAAGTGCACACGGAAGAGAAGCTGACTCCCCCAAGGTCTCTTGAAAAAGAAGCTGGGAATTTTAGGGGGAGAGCATTGAGAAGAAGATACCTGTGGAAGCCTCGGCAGAGAGTGCTGGTGTTCTATAGCCCCGAATCACCCCATAGATGGTGACTCTATAGGGGGTGGCAGCCTTGAGGCCTGGTATGTCCACAGCCCTGAGGCTGCCAGGCACTGTGAGGTTCTGAGCTGCCTCCACCTTGTTAGCCTCCTGCACCTGAATAACAAAGTGTTCATAGGCCTGGTCGGCTGCAGTCCAGTTGAGTTTAAGGCCATCCCAGCCAACCTCAGTCACGGCCAACTCTCCCAGCTGCGGGAGCTCCTCTGAAGGACAAAGAGGTATTGGTCAGTTCTCAAAAAGGAACATGAGGAAACCAAATGTCCCACAGCCCAACTCCAGGGAAGAGAGAAAGGGGTGAGAGAAGGGCTTTTTTGGTCATTCCGGGTCTCTGGGCATTTCCAGTTTGAACGCTGGTACTTTGGCCACAGCTTTCTTCAGGAATTGATGTGATCAGAAAAGGGAATGTCTACATCTATCATCCCTGAGGTGGCAATGACATCCGGACAAGGCACAGTCCATAGAGAGGTCTCTGCATCTGCACCACCAGCAGCTAAGGGTACAGGGAAAAGGTGGGGTTGGGGGTCAGGTTGAGGGAAGAAGGGAATGGTTAGAGATGCAGGTTTCGGAGGTGAATAAACCTTGGTTAGAATTCCAACGCTGATATTTGCTAGCTGCGTAATCTTGGGCATGTCACCCTGCTTCTCTAGGAGGCTCATTCTCCTCATCTTTAAACAGGACCAGTAGTGCCCATTTCATTGTATTGTGTGATAATTAAATGATAAAATATTTATAAACCTCTTACAAATATTTTATCATTTATAAAATAAATGATAAACTGATGCTGACATATAGTGAAAGCCTGATAGGTGGCACCTTAAAAATATATATCATTGTTTAGCTGTGTTCCCTTCTTAGTCATGTGGGGAGACCCGCCTGCTTCATTTCATTACTTGAAATTAGAGAGACCATCTCATTGCTGGGCTCATGCTCTCTGTCTGGGTTTATAAAGCGTGTGCTGTTTCAGGCTTTGACAAGTATGCTGTTTTCTCTCTGGATTTTTCTCAGCACTCAGGGATTAGACATTATGTACAGGATGCTGGCTGGCTCTTCTCCCACCTTAGTCCAATGGTGCTAGCTTTGTGTCTGAATGAAGAATGGCTACATTATGAAGCAAGATTGTTTGTGTGAAATGAGTGTGCCTACTTTTAATTAAAAGTGATTGTTTTTCTCAGTAACCGGTTCAGAGAAGGGCACATTATTGTTATTATTATTATTATTATTTTTACAATGTAGGATGAAAATCTGATGTAGTTATTGCAGCTGACTTAGAAAGTTTGGATTTGGGATATGGAAAAACCCAGAGCTTAGTCGGATGCTTCTCAGGGTTAAATGCAATCTCTCAGTCTCTCTCTTTAAGGTTGAAGTGGCCGTGGATTAAAAATCAGATAGGTAAATATCTCTGGGAATAACAGCCAAAAAAAAGATGAAAGATATTTGTTCTTAGGTATTCCAGAATTCAGTGGAATAAGTACTGCAAGAATCTGAGAAACCTCTATGTTCTAGAGTGGCTGTTCTCAGACTGTGTGCCATAGATCTGGTGTCTTTCTGGAAGAACTGGAGTGGGGATATGGGTGGTGGCAGCCTCTTCTGCTTCCCAACTCAGCAAGAACAGCTGTTCTTTTATTTGTCATACTGGGGGGGCTCCTTGTGAGATTTCATTGCAAAAGGAGTTTTGCTGCTAAAAAAAGTTTGCAAACTATCGATGTAGATTATTAGCATCCAGCATCCAGAGCTCATGTGTCTCAAAGGTCTTGTTTGATGTGGAAATATTTCAGGAAACACAGGACTATGATAACCTGATCATCTTAGGTGTCTCAAAATATCATCTTTCTAGTTTTGCAACTGTGTGTAGATTCCACCAAGGACAAAGTTTATTTGGCATATGTGAGCAAGGAAAAAAAAAAAATTTAGATTAGGTGACTTGAGTGGCATTATCAAAACACTGCATATATAGAAAAGTGCAAAAAACCACTATTACTGAAATTTTGGTCCCTTTGTCCATTGTTGTTGTTAGGTGCCCTCGAGTCAATTTCGACTCATAGTGACCCCATGTGACAGAGTAGAACTTCCTCATAGGGTTTTGAAGGCTGTGATCTTTATGACATCAGATTGCCAGGTCTTTCTCCCCCAGAGCCACTGGATGGGTTTGAACTGCCAACCTTTTGGTTAGCTTCCAAGCATTTAACTGTTGTACCACCAGAGCTCTTTTTAAAACTATTTCTAGAAACCTCACGAACAGCCCACTATTTTCTATAACAGATGGAGCAGCATATTTTCAGGGGACAAATTGAGATTATTTTTTCTCCTCAAATTGAATGAAGAACATTGAAGTCAAATTGTGACTGCCCTTCCTTGGAAATGTTCCAGCCTTGAGTATTTGTTAAAGAGAGAGACTCACATAATTTTGGCGGAAGATGACTAGAACATTCGCAAAGGTTATTCTGCAGAGATCTGACTATGAGTCAGGTGGTATTAGTGACTCCTAGGCCACTATTGATAAGGTTTCTCTAGAAAGCTCTGGTTTTATCCTATGCCACAGCCTTATGGTTTATGCTGGTATTGTTATGACTATGTTGCCATACAATACATTTAGCTATTTACTGTTGAGCTGTTGTATATCTGCTACGTGATGGGAATGTTGCTAAGCACTTTCATTTATTGTCTCATTTATTGCTCATGACAGTATTCTGAAGTAGAGGTATTACCTCTGATTTAAAGATGAGAAAAGAAGGCTCGGAGATGTAACATGGCCTACCCAAGAATATTCAGCCAGTAAGGTGGAATTCTAACCCAGATCTTCCTGAGTTAGAGCTCGTGTTCATGCTGCCTGTTAACAACGTTAAGGTAGGACTCTGCCTCATGGGGACTTTTCTCTATTGCGATGATAGGCTTGCTCACATCACATCTCTGGTCTAGGAGGAGGGTCAGATACCTGTGATGACTTCCACAGCAAGGGGTTGAGTGGTACGGCCCCTGACCACGCCTTGCAGGGTGATCGTGTAAGAAGTACCAGCCCTGAGGCCCGGGATTTCCACCAAACGCAGGCTGCCAGGAACTGTAAGGTTTCGAGCCTCTTCTGCCCGGTCAGCCTCCTGGACCCGAATGACAAACTGTTCATAGGTCCCATCTGGGGTGGTCCAGTCCAGTCTGAGGGTATCCCAGCTAACCTTGGTCACTGTAAGGTTTCCCAGATCTGGAACCTCCTCTGCACAAGGACACAGAGTTGCCGAGTTACTAAAAAAGGCAATTGCATGCTGGGATTCAGGTGAGTTGGCATTTTGGCTAAGGTTAGGATGAGTTGTCTGGTTAATGTTGATTACAGATGCATGATTTACAACAGGTATTGAGCACTCTAACTGTTGGCACTAGAGCCAGAGTTTTTCTATTCAGCCTTTGGGAATGAAATGTAGTCTCAGGAATTGTTCAGGACTTCCATTCTTGATATACAAATAAGGCCTTTGGAGAATCCTTTGGTGCATTCTGAAAATGAGCTGAGTTATTTTCTAAAATTTTTACTTCCAAGTTGTGCTTTCCAACTTCTTATATATTATGACTAAAATTTACTTTGAAAGAAAAGTCACCTCTCACTTTTGTGCAGGGACAGTATGCAGAATTTTCCATGGGATGAGCTACCATGCTACTCTTAGGACCTGGCCATGTAAGGGAGTATGACATTTGGGAAGAAGCAAGGATGATTCTCAAGTATTCACTCAATGTAGTAGGAGGTGAACATAGTTTAGAGCAGGATAGAGCTCTGATCCCTCCTGAGAAAAGACAAAGGTAATGAATAAAATCAGTAAATTAGTCTAGAATACCTGTCAAGGCTTCAACAGAGACAGGGGTTGTGCTGGAGTCCTGAGTGACCCCGTGGATGGTGATGCTATAATGAGTGTCTGCTTTGAGCCCGGTGAGGTCCACAGACCTCAGTCCTCCTGGGACAGTGAGGTTGTGGGCTGCCTCTAATGTGTCTGTCTCCTGCACCTGAATGAAAAAGAGCTCATAGGCCCCTTCTGGAGCGGTCCAGTTGAGCTTGAGGGCATCCCAGCCCACCTCAGTCACTGTTACCTCTCCCAATTTAGGAGTATCCCCTGGAGAAGAACAAAGAACTAGTTTAATGATTAAATCACACAACAAGGTCCAGGGACTCTTTAACACAAGAATAAGCTTTACGTCACTTGAAACATTTGTCTTTCTTTAGATAAACATGCATCATGCAGCCTCCTAAATTTTAGAAACATAGCAAAGAGGGAGAGGTGTAGGAAAATACTTGTTTTCTTATCTTACTAGAGATTTGCGCAAACTTTCAGCAGATGAGGGGATTAATTTTGTGATTTTTCCCCCCTTTTAAATATATTGCCTTAATATTCCTTAACAGGAGTGAGCCTGTTGATGAGGCTAAAAGGCCCCTCCCTTGGATCTGTGTGTATAGTCCCACAGCTTGGACTCTGCACAACTCCAGAGGGCATCATTCACATGGAGTACAATCTGAACAGTGCCTCTGCATTGCACAACTCAATGGCCTTGCTTCCATTATTAGACACCAAAGCATTATAACATATGGAAGAACAAATCCATTCAAAAGATAATTGTGTCTGATTATCTTTGGGTAGTTTCCTGTTGGGAAAAACAAAGCTATGGGTAGAAAGGTAAGAGGTACCTGTGGAGGCCTCAGCAGAAAGCACTGGTGTTCTATAGCCCCGAATCACCCCATAGATGGTGACTCTATAGGGGGTGGCAGCCTTGAGGCCTGGGATGTCCACAGCCCTGAGGCTTCCAGGCACTGTGAGGTTCTGAGCTGCCTCCACCTTGTTAGCCTCCTGCACCTGTATGACAAAGTGCTCATAGGGCTTGTCGCCTGCGGTCCAGTTGAGTTTGAGGCCATCCCAGCCAACCTCAGTTACTGTGAAGTTTCCCAGTTCAGGGGCTTGTTCTGAATAATGACAAAGATGGAATCAGTTAAATCAGTCCTCAAAACACGTTCATCCTGAGAACCTAGAGATGGTAAACCTGCTGGCAGTGAGGACAGGCCGCCAGAGCCTGGGGCAGCATTTTGCTCACTCCGTCCCTTAGTGGTGCTTTCCTCCTTAAAATACCAACAGAAAAATCTGTATGGTTACTTTGATTTCATGCATATTGGGTTTGTTTTCGAGAAACGGTATTTTCTTATTGACCAGTATCCTGCAGATTTAAAACCTTTATAGGCATATGTAGGTCCTTAGTTGCAGCAAATGGTTTACACTCAACTACTAACCTAAAGTTTGGTGGTTCAAGCCTACCCAGAGGTGCCAGGAAAGAAAGTCCTGGTGATCTGCTTTCATTAAGATTATAACCAAGAAAACCCTGTGGAATAGTACTACTCTGTAACACATGGGGTTGCATGAGTCAGAATAGACTCAATGGCAATGTTTTTTTTTTTTTTTTTTTTTTTTTATAGGTATATGTTAGTGACACCCTGGGATTTAGTTTCCATTTTGGAAAGTGCCTCTCACCATAAGAAGGGAACCCTCAGTTTGTCTGTAGCTTTGATCTGCCTTCTGTATTCTGAGACTATTGCCTCCTCTCGTTTCCCTTTCTTTCCATGCCTCCTCAATCTCCTCTGGTAGGTCTAGTTTACAGTTACTTTATATCGGGATTTTGTAAGTTTCCAGGTTTCAAATCAATTTACTCAAACCACTTCTGCAAAGAGTAAGGATAACTTAACCTAGTGGAAGTAAGGCAGAACTGAGGAAGGCAGTTTTTGAAAAATTGTCCCCTGTTGGACAGAAAGATTGAGGTCTTGGGAAAAACAGAACTTATGAAGCTCAGTTTAAATTGAATGCACCATCTTCATTCATTTCCTGAACACACAGAATAGAGTAAAAACTTTGCTTAAGGAGGATAATTTGCCCGGAGCTGAGCTTTAGTGGACTTTCCATGACCTAGGAAGAAAGGGTTTTCCAGGAAATGGGTCCTGTAAACAAGAGTGTAGGAACGGCCTTTTGCTCATTTAAAAGAACAAATTGGTTTTCTATTTATGCCTGATATTGCTGCTAATTTCAAACAGCCCTATGTGTCCATTAAAGCAGGCTTCTTATTTGAAAATCTTAGCTTGCAATTTGATTGGGAAGATCCTTCCAGAAAGGAAAACGTTTCCTTTCTAGAATCTATTTAATGCAGACATTTCTAAGTTCTGGAGACCATTTTTCCTAATTGTTTCATACTGGCAAAGCTTACACTCCTTCACGTCTTGTTTGAGCTAGAACAGGGGTGAGCAGATGACAATCTGAGGTCCAAATCTGTCCCACCACTTGTTTTCAGAGTCAGTAAACTAACAATGGTTGTTACATATTTAAATGGTTGGGGGGGAAAAAAAAACAATGAAACAGTATTTCATGACATATGAAAATTACATGAAATTCAAATTTCAATGTCTGCAAATAAAGTTTTACTGGAACACAGCCATGCTTGTTCATTTATGTGTTGTTGCTGGCTGCTTTTGTGCTACAATAGCAGAGATGAATACCTGTGTCAGAGATTATATGACCTGCAAAGTCTAAAATACTTATGGAAAGTGTTCTGGCCCTTTACAGAAAATGTTTGTCTACCTCTGGTCTTGACCTGCATTCTACGGGCTCCTCCATTCCCCCAAATTCATGTCCTGGAACTCATACCCAAGGCCTCATATCAGTTATTAACACACAAACATGGTCTGTTCTAGAAAGAGAGGCTCTGAAGCTCAAAGTGGTCTATCTAGTTTTGGGGAAAGGTCAGCCATCCTTGAACTGGTGGTCCTTGTGAAGTCAAAGACAGTACTCTCAGATATAACAGTTAAATCCTCGACTTTGGGATTTAAGCACAACTACAGTCAGTGACATGTCCTATTTGAATATGCCAGGGGTCTTCATACATAAAAGAGATTGGGAGAAAATCAAACGTAAGGTCAAGGAAATTGATTCTTGTGGCCCTTAAACTTGTCTTCTTACCCTACTTTTCTTTTTTTTTTTTTTCCTTCTGCTATCAAAAATTGCTTGTCAGGAACTTATCTGATATTAACAATTTACCTCTTAGTGTGAATTAATCACTGTTGTTCTTCTCCAGCTATCTGCATTTTTTAGCCTTACCTCTAATTGTGACATGAAAGGTATTTTTTTTTTTTCCCACGAAAGAAATTTCAGGTTCCAGGTTGCAAGAGACATGAGGAGAGTTACCTACCTGGGAGGGGAAGGAGGTGATTACGGGATTGCCTGCTCAGCTGCTACAGCAAAGATGGATGGGGAGAGAGGAGATACGCATTGGAAGTTGTTGCTTCCTGATGGGAATCGTCTTTTCTCTTTGAATCAGCTTTTTGAGATCACTGATGTTTTTATACAATGCCCTCAGATCCTTGTTTCTACTGTCCATACAGCTGATAGAGTTACTTTCACATAATGTCAGTTACTCAGTAAATAGTAATGGTCATGGTGATGTTATTTCCACCAAAACATTTTGCCTACCCTTCCACATTTTTCTTCCTTTTTTTTTTTTTTTTTTGGTAGGCAATTTAATAAAGAGAATAAGGAGAATCCATTTATTATTTAGAGAGGAAGCACTGTGGCTATGTCTGTGGTGGATGCTGTTGGTGCCCCACCCAGATCCTTTTACCAGGACGGTACCTCCCATTTTCCAGCTGCTGGTAGTGTTGGCTGCTAAAGTTTACCTTAGCCCTGTTCTAGAGAATTGACTGTGGCAATTATCTATCCATCTATTTATCTACCTATCTATCAATCAATCGATCTATCTATCATCATCTATCTATCTTCCAAGGGAAGTAAGCTCCAGGAGAAGAGGAACTTCATTTTGCCCACTGTAGTACTCATTTTCTCCAATGCTACCACCCTTTTCAAAGCTACCATCATTCCTAATCTGAACTATGCAATGGCCCCCTAACTGATCTTTCTGCTCCCATACTTGCCCCTTTACAGTTTAATTCCCATGGAACAGCCAGAAGAGTCTTTTAAACATATCTCTTTTCTGCTCTCAGCCCTCCGATGACTTGCCTTTACACTTAAAATAAAATATTAAAAGACATATCTATCTAATGGGTTCAAGCATAACAATGATTGTGAGGCTGGCACAAGACCAGGCAGTGTTTTGTTCTGTTGTACACAGGGTCGCTATGTTGTACATAGGGTCACTATGTTGTACATAGGGTCACTATGAGTTGGAACCTACTCGACGGCACCTAAAAACAACAACAATCTGTCCATCTGTCCATCCATATCTATCTATCACCATCTATCTATCATCCAAAGGAAGTAAGCTCCATGAGGACAGGAACTTCATTTTGTTCATTGTAGTACCTCTGGCTCTTAGAGCTGGTGCTTCACAAATATTTGTTGAGTGCATGAATAGGAGAGCAAAAATTTTTCATCACTCTCTCTCTGGTTAATGTACATTTTTACGAACTTAAAACATGTTCTAATCCTACTGGCCTTTCAAAGCAAGAAGAACGGCTCGATGGCACTCAGTGCACAAATTCTGAAAATCTCAATACTTGTGAAGACTTTTGCAGGGTTATAAGGTAACAGAGGAGCCCTGGTGGTGTAATGGTTAACAGCGAGGCTGCTAACCAAAAGGTTGGCAGTTCGAATTCACCAGCCACTCCTTGGAAACCCTGTGGGGCAGTTCTATTCTGTCCTAGAGGGTCACTATGAATCAGAGTCTACCGACGCCAATGGTTTGTTTGTTTGTTTGTTTTTTAAGGTACTAGAAATGGTGTTTTGACTAATTAAACAAATGCTAGTCAGACAAGCAGAAGGTGACACTTCTGTGAGTGAAATCAGTAGATAAATTAAAGGGAGAGGGATAAGAATTAGGAAAAGAGGAGGAATAATATGAATGAAACACAGCAGACAACAGTTGAGGTGGGGACCAAGAGTCTCCACATAAATGCTGAATATACATTTCAATTGTAAAGGACAGTCTTGTGGGCTTCCTGCCCCAGAGGCCAAGTGTTTCCATTGTGTAGTTCCTTATTGAATTTCTCGGCATTTCTTTATGAAAAGGCTGTTGTCTTTTTCTCACAGCTGTGCACCGGAATCTACCCTCTGAACAATGTCAGTAGGCCTGGGAAATTAGAATCTTGAAATCCCATTTCTGTGCTTATGGTGGGTACAAACAGCTGACCTGGAGGAATTTCTGGCAGAATTAACTTTAAATCTTTAGCTTCCCACTGTCTTGCAGATGGTAGTTATATCTCATGGCTGGATGACAGCACTACAACTACCAGCTTGGTGAGAGATCGACTTTCAGTGTTCACTTGCAGGGCAAAGAGTGATCCTCCCACAACAGGGAGACTGTCAGATCCAAGCCCGACTACCTCAAAGGGGAGACTAAATTGCTTCGATATCATTTTGTCAAAATAAGATAACTGAAACTAAAAGTCTTGCCTGCCATAAAATCCGTCAGTGGCTCTTTTTCACTATCAAGAATGAAGCCCACACCCTTTAGCATGATATTCATGGTCCTTTGTAGACCGTTCCTGATGTTATACCTCGGTTGAAGTAGTCTATGGACAGAATCAATGGAATCAATCACCTGAACTCACTTTAGACTCTCTGGCAGAGTCTTCTTTCTGTTTATCAAGTATCTCTTGTCCTCTTCTTTGCAAACAATCAACCATGATTTTATATGGGCAGCATAATAAGACTATCTTTCCCAACCTCATCTACAACTAGTAGTGGCCAATGAAATATGGGTAGAAGTCATCGGTGTGGCTTCTAGAAAGAATTATCTACGAGGCAATTTTTTTTTGGTTTTCGGTTCTTCCTCTTTCGTATTGCCTAGAACACAGATGTGAAGATTGTACTCAGTGACCATATTGTGACATTGAGGTGTCTTTGAAAATGGAAGCCAGGAAATAAGAATGGTGGAAAACAAAGATAAGAGGTGTCCCTGATAATTTGAACGATGTCATCCCTGAACAACCTAACTCCAGATTTATTTTGTGAGAGGGGAAACCAACCTCTATCTTACTTAAGTGACTTATTATTTGAAATTTCTGTTACATGCAGTTGGAGGTATTCATAAATGAAAAAGACTCCTCAAGGCATTTCCAAGTACATTCATCATTATAACTCCTTCTCTGCTTGCCAGAGCTCAGCTGCAGTAACACTCAGCCAACCTTTCCTGGCTGCTCCTCATTTCCCCTGATCATTCCCTTTCTTTGATTAAGTTCCATCGAACATTCTGAGTATCTAATCTTCCCCAAGAACTGTGAGCGGGAATACATGAGTCAACATAACAATCCTCACTATGTGGTCCACTTCTCCCTCAAGTGTCAGTATAATATACAGTATGCAGTAGGTGCTCAATGCATGCTCACTAATTAAACTGAAAACAAACCCTATTATTTGCCAAACCCTGGAGAACTTACATTTTCCTCTTATATTTCTTGACTGAATATTTTGGGGTCGAAATTAAATGTGCATATTTTTCATACAGGAAGAACCTTTTTTTTTTCTGTTTGTTGTTTCAATTTAGCTACTGAGGAAACGTGGCAGGAGGTTCAGTGAGTAGGATGATTGGGTTAGAAGGGGCACTGGAGGTCAGGATTAAGCTGTCGTCTTGGAAAACCAGGGTTCACCTCTCAATGACTAAGACAAAAGAGAAAATAGAAGGGCACCGTGGAAGACTCAAAGGACCATGTGCAACTTCTCGGTGGTAATCTTAGAGGAAAGAAAAAGACCTGGAATAAAAACATTTAATGGAAAATAGCCAAAAAAATTACTTTCAATACCTTGGTCATCTCCAAAAGAAATAAAATGAAAAACAAATTAATTGTTAAATCGAAGGAGGGAAGAAAAAGGAGAAATAACTTAGAAGAATCTGGAAAACACACACATAATTTAAAAAAAAAAGAAAAAAACCTAAGGAGAAACAAACAGGAACCCTAAGCTTTAAGTTCTAATAGAAAGAAATATTAAAAAATCGCTATTGCTCCGTGAGGGGCTATTGCTAAACTGGTTGATGAAAGGAAAAGTTAATACTCGAGAAAGACAAGGAAGTGACTCTTTTAAAAAGTGATGTTTAGTGACTTCATGAGTAGAGAAGAAAAGCATGTCTTCTCATCTGGCTTTCTCATGTACAGACAAGCTGGTTGAGGGGATCCACAAACCTCAGAATCAACAGAGGGTTTGGAGGGAGCTCAGAGACGAGACTCACCGGTGGACGCCTTCACCCGTGCAGGTTTGCTCTTGTGCCTGCCTTTCTCTGCCGTGAGGAGGATGGGGTATTCCTGCCCAGGCTCCAGGCCTCTCAGAACGTGGGAGGTGGTGTCTCTCGGAAGCTTCACCTCCATCTGCTTGCCCGTGGGGAGACTGTAGTTGAGGCGGTAATGGTCAAACTTGGCCAGGGGTGTCCTCCAGTGCAGATTGATGCTGGTTTCCGTAGTTTCAGACACCCGGAGGTCCTTGGGGGCATCAATGTCTGGGAGGAAAACAGAGAGGTGGCACCTTTCAGGCTGCTTCAGGAGCTGAAATTTGACAGGTTCTGTGCTGTGATCCTAGTTCTGCCATGGAGGGGATGTGTGGCTTCAGGTAATTCACCTGAGTCTCAGTTTTTATCTTTGTAAAAAGGGTCCTCATCATGCATTATACATTTTGGAAGATTAAAAATGAATATGGTGTATATCCATACCGTAGAATGACACTCAACAATTAAACGGATAAACTATCGATACAAAAAACAATTTTGATGGATCTCAAGGGCATTATGCTGAGTAAAAAAAGTCAATCTCAAAAAGCTACATATGGATTGATTCCATTTATATAGTACTCTCCCAAAGGACACAATTATAGAGCTGAAGAACAGATTAGTGGTTGCCAGAGCTTAGGGATGAGGAGATGGAGGGAGGTGACTGTGGCTGTAAAGGGGTAGCGTGACAAATCCTTGTGATGAAACTATTCTGTGTCTTGACTGTCATGGTGGACACATGAATCTACACATGTGACAACATTGCATAGAACTAAATATACACACACACAAATGAGTGATGTAAAACTGATGAAAATTGAGTAAGGTCAACGGATTGCACCAGTGTCAATGCCCTTGTTGTGATATTGTACTATAGTTATGCAAGATGTTACCATTGGAGGAGACTGGCTAAAGAACATAGAAGATCTTGCTTTATTATTTCTCACAATTGCATGTGAATCTATAATATCTCAAAAAATAAAAATAAAAAAGAATATGTATGTTAAGAGCTCAGCACTGGATCTTGTATAATTTGAAAGCTCAGTAAAGCAGCATGTATGTTCTTTTTACACACTAGCCTCCTTTTTCCTCACCTACCTGGTGGAGGTAACACAGAAGCAAGTAGAGAGGTAGAGGGAAATTTTTTCTTATTGAAGTGCAAATTATCCAGAATAAAACTTGCTTCGAATCATGTAGCCCCTCACCATCCTCACCTGGAGGCTGGAGCCACAGGATACACAAGTTAAATGCAGACACTTCCAAGGAGGCAGGGCCTGAATTAAACACTGGCCTCGCCATTTATAATCTGCTTAACTGGGAATATAGAAGTTAGGTGTTTTCTAATAGGAAACTCCCCAGAAGTGTTTCTATTAGATAGCGGTTTATATAAAAAAATGGAATTTTTACCAAGTTTGAAAAAATTTGCGTATTTCTTATGAAGTCTGGTTCCAGTTTTACTTTAAAATATCCTTGGCTCCCTTCCTGCATGGCGTGAGTGGTGCTGGCATCATTGAAATGAGTGGGGGGGGTGGGGGGTGGTCACTCACTGCTCCCGTTCACTCATTTTCGTTACTTTTGAATTTAGACACTTGGGCTAAATGCTTCCGGAGACCACTTTCTCCTCTGAACTTCTACTTTTTCTTTTTAAATAGGTTTTCTGCCTCATTGGCCTTGTCTTGTCTGTCTAACTTGCCCGCAAGCTCTGTGGTGGTGGAACCCACGGTGCTCCTCACCTGTGGCCGCATTGATGGTGGCTGGATTGCTCTCCCTGTCCTCCTTCACAGCAGACACTCCAATCCCATATTCAGTTCCTGGCCTCAGACCTACAGGAAAATGTGCAGGTTATGATTCAGTCTGAAATCATAAAGATTTGCAAAGGACCATGACAGTGGCTCTGAGCTGGTCCATGAAGGCTATGATTTCTCAATGCCCAGAATGTTTTGAAAACGAACTTGCTGCAGTCCAAGTGAGAGGGCTTGCTGGGAACTGGACTTGGTTCTCTCTCCGGAGAATTGCAAAATAGTGATATGTGGGAGTAGGTTGCCAACCCTTTGAGGACCCCTGGGATCAGCTGGATCAGGGAAGCAGAACTTGCCTGTGAGTATGGTTTTGGTTGTGGCTTGTTGGCTCTTTGGGACTTCAATCTCGGCGTGGTCACCTCCAGAGATGGGTGCATACTTAATTCTGTAGCTGTCAATGGCTGCCTTGCCATTTCTCCATTCCAGGGTGATGCTGTTTTCTGTGTGGGAGATGCGTCTGAGATTCCTGGGAGCATCTAGGCCTGTTTGGGAGAGGAGGGAAACTTTGCATGAAAATATCAGGTGTCAGGACAGCTGGAGTCTTTGACAGTTCAACCTGTCGTACAGAAGGTGTCTGCCATTGGAGAGAGAGACAAAATAGCCCACATAGCCTTCTGCCTCAGTAGCTGATGCACAAATCTAAGCAAATACTACATATTTGGCACCTTTTCCCATTATTAGTGTGTGTGCCACTTCGGTCATTCATGCTTTCCTTAGATTTTGTTCTTAAAAAACGATTACAAATTTACAAATTAGCTCTACAAGAGGGAGGACTGGTCTGTTGTGTTCATCACTATATTTCTAAAAACTCACACAGTGCTTACTGAGCACTGAAAAAAATACCAATTGAACGAATGCCTGGAACTTTGGTACTTTTAAAATGATGCCATTGGCTAAGAGGTTAGAAGACATCTTTGCATTCATCTTTTCCATATACGATATTTTATTATTAAAATATTTATTTGATTTTTATTTTAACCAGAACCTTTGTCAGAGAATGTCAGATCAGCATCCTCTATGTGTGCAAAAAAGTAATCTTTGGCACTTTTTCTTGGAAAAAAATAATTGCTACAATATTTTAAAATAAAATTTAAAGGAATGAAAATCCTGACTTGCTTTTTTCCTCACTGTAAAATGATCCTGGAAGTCACCTGTGATGGTTGGTCTTATGTGTCAACTTGGCTGGGCTATAATACCCAGTTATTTAATTGAGCAGTAGTCTAGGTGTTACTGTGAAGGGATAATGTAGATGTGGTTAATTCTCTAATAAAAATTACCCTTGGTAATGTAGGTGAGCATCATCCAATCGGTTGAAGTCCTTATGAGAAAAAACTAAGGTTTCCCAGAGAAGAAGAGATTATGCCTCAATACTGCAGCATCAAATCCTGCCTGAGTTCCTAGCTTGTTGGCCTGCCCAATGAATTTTGGACTCAGAAGGTAACATCAATTTCTGCCTGAGTTTCCAGTCTGCTATCTTGCTCCGTGGATTTCAGACTTGCTAGCCTCCACATTCCTGCGAGTCAATTTCTTAAAGTAAATCTTTTTACATCTGTCTGTATCTGTACCTGTATTGTATCTTATCTGAATCTCTAATCTGTGCATGTATGTCTGTGTATATGTGTATATATCCTATTGGTTCTATTTTTCTTGGGAGAACGTTGACTGATACACACCCTGACATGGAGTGGCATGGAAATCTCGCAATCCTTCCTTTACTGTAACGGTTACCTGTTGTGAAGGTCTCTTTGGCCGGGTTGCTTGACATGTCACCCCTGCGGGAAATGAGGGACACCTCATAGTCGGTGTCTGGCTTCAGGTTCCCGATGGAGTACTGGTTCTCGTCATGTGTGAGATCAATGGTGGTGCGGTCGCCCGGCACATCTTTGATCCCATAGGAGAGCTCGATGCCGTCAATCTCGGCCAGGGGCTTGAACCAGGTGATCAGAGCAGTGGTGTCCGTGACGTCTTTAACCTCAGTTTGGCTGGGGGCGTCCAAGCCTGTGACAAGCAGAGGGCGGAATGGTTTCAAAGATCAGGGCCAGTGTCAATGGCTGACCAGAGAGGGCGTTGTTGCCACTCAGAACTGTGGGTGTATATTTCCACGTTGTTTACTGGCCACTTGACCTTATTTCACCTTTTTGAACCCCGGTTTCCTGTTTGATAAGCTATGGGTGGGGATAACGACAGCAACCTCTTAGGAGTTTTTGTTTTTTCAAATATTAAAGGAGATAATGCTTGCAAGGTATCTAGCATGACGCCTGGCACACGGCAGTTGCATGATAAATGGTCGTTGTTTTGTTGCTATTATTATTCCTGTTTTCTTAAGTTGAAGAAACATACTTAGGGGTTATTTTACTTGAAAAATTTGATCAAGTATCTCTAGATGGCGTAGTGGTTAAGAGCTATGGCTGCTGACCAAAAGGTCGGCAGTTCAAATCCACCAGGCGCTCCTTGGAAACTCTATGGGGCAGTTCTATTCTGTCCTATAGGGTCACTGTGAGTCAGAATAGACTCAATGGCAACAGGTTTGGTTTTAGTTTTTAATTAGACAAAACTTCCTGGATTATTGATTGCTTCCCCAGTGTACCATCAGAATCATGGCAGAGAAGAGTGAGAAAATGACTGTCTCGACATGCATGGGAAGTTATTTTTGCTTAAGGGAAGTTAGACAAGAAACTCATCTCTATCACAAGTCTTTCCTACCTTTGTATCCCAGTCTCGGTCTTTTATCACCTGCCTCGTTACTCAACTCCTGTCCCATCCACCCCTGTATCATGTGCTCTGACTGCACGCTCCTCGGGATTCTGGAAGCACATCGAGCTGTTTCTTACCTCCTGGTCCTTGCATGTGTTGTTCCTGTTTTTTCTGCCTGAGATTGCCGCCTCCCTCAAAAAGTCTCCTATCTGTCCTTCAAAATCTAGTTATGTCACCCCCTACAAGAAGCCTTCTTTGACCCTGCTGCAATCAAGTAAATGCATTCTGCCTCCTTGTGATTGCTATTGCCCTTAAAGAGAATTCTAACATTGTACTTATCTCACTGTTCCTTAAAAGATTTGTCTACAGTTGGTAACAATTTAGATGGAACCATTCATTTATTCATTTATTCATAGTGTGAGTCTTAGGTTTTTCTTAATCCCCATCATAGTCTGGCACATACTAGGCACTCAGTCAATGTTTATTTCTTGCCTTTAAAAAAAAATAGTTAAGTTTGTATGTTCAGCATCAGTTCAATGAACAATATCACATGAAAAGAAGTTTTCTTTATACAGGGAATAAGGAGGAGGAATAATCCATTGCTGACTGTGATAAAGCTACAGTCTATCTTTTGAAGTCTAGGTGTTGCTACAATAAGCCCAGCTCACAGCGGATGACCCCTAAAACGTAGTGAAAATGATGCTTCAAATAAGCAGTCCTGTGCTCTTACAGCTGCTACCAAGCACCCAAACCACAGTGCCTTCCTTAGCACCCCTTTCCTTATGGAAGCTGGAAGTCAGCCAAAGACATTCATCCACCACTGGATTTGGTACCCTTGAACAGAGGGGACTAACATTTACTCAGTGCTTATCATGTGCCAACCATGATGCTTTGTCCTATGATAAGACATATCTTAACCCTTATGACAACTTCACGAGGAGGATACTATAAACCCATTTCCCAGATGTTGCGTCTGAGTGCCAAGAAAAGGACTTGCTCAAGCTGATGGTGAGTGGTAAAGCTGGAATTCAAACTCAGGGCTGTTTGAATCCAAAGCCCATGCTCTTTCCCCTTGACCTAATGATGCCTCTTAAAAATATTCATATATCAAAAATGGTATAGTACCACCTCTGTATAAATACTGGTGGGAAGAAACAGAAATTATTTTGTTACCAAAAGTTTACGTTGGTTTAAAAGTGGAAAAAGTTCAGCTATAGCAACAAAATAAACAGGTAAACGTCTTCCCCTCAATGTTGATATTTATGTGATTCTGTAACTTCAAATGTTGAGATGTTTGTCCTGCAATAAGAAGAAGATAAAATAGCCACTCCCCTAACTTAGATTAAGAAGAGGAAGACGAAAGAAATCTCTTTTGTATTTTCAGTGTACCTTCTCTCCAGCAAATAAGCATTGGTAGGTCTTTTCTTTGCCTTTCTGGTGATCTAATGATTTTTCCTGTTGGTACCTGCCTCTACCTACCACAGAGTGATGTTGTCAGGAGGATGGAAAACACCTGCTTATTAAGGAGACAGTCCTATGAATTGGCTCTGAGCTAGGCAAAATGTGCAAATATTTAAATGCAAGATGTTCTTTCTTGTCATTAGTCAACAAGATTTAACTTTTCCAACAATCTCCTGCCAAGAAGAGTTAAAGTCTTAAACTGGAGGTGCATATTTTGTCTTGGAGAAGACAAAAAGAGGTTTTACAAAATGGCAATGAAAAATGATTTTCTTTTTTTTTAAAATTTGCTTCCTGGTAGAATAACTCCAAATTCAGACTTTTTTCCCCAAATGATCTAGCAATCCCAAATCCTTTCTACCCTCGAGAATCTCTGACACCATTAGTACTGAGTAAAACTTTATTTAGGTTCCTGTTGAAAAGATGGAATCAACATTCTGCATAAATCAGAGCCTAGTTGATGCTAGTGGTGATGGGGTTAAAAATTTTAAAACAAATCCCTGACCTAAAGTTGTGGCTTGATACTATTAGCCACGTGATGTTAGCTAAATTGATTTAACTTCTCTAAGCCTCTGTTTCTACTCTTGAAAAATAATGACATTAGTATTCTCCCTGCCTCTTCCATAGGACTGTTGCTAAAATTAAATTAGGTGATGTGGTAGATTGTTTGCTATGACCTCAGTTATTGCCCTTCCTGTCTCTATACCTTTGAAAATGGACTTTGAAGCTCATCTTATAAAGAGATGGATCTGTCTGCCTACCCTTTAGATATGAAATGGCCTTAGAGCTTACTTCAGTCAATAGAATGGAGCAAGTGATGTGGTGCCAGCTTTGAGCCTAGGTCTTAAGAGACCTTGCTTACATTTCTTCTTGTTCTTTTGGGGCATCTGCTTAGCTGCCATGTGAACAGGCTCAAGCTAGTCTACTGGAGCATGAGAGACTATGTGGAGGAAAAAGGCCAGCCTAGGCCAACCAGTTATATCCACACAGATGCATGAGTGAGCCCCGTTAAGACCAGAAAAATTCCTCACTGAGCCCAGCCCTAAATTGCCGACCTGCAGAATTGTTGTTTTAAGCGACTAAGCTTTGAGCTTGTTTGTTACTCAGCAAAAGCTAGTTGATACAGATGGGATACAAGAAGGTGCTGTATCAACCAGAAGGTGTTGTGAGGTACTGTAAGCTTTATCGTTGTATCAGTGGCATTAAAGTGATACTCACGAGTGGTTGTCACCCTCTTCACACCGGGGCCCCGGGTATTGTTTTTCACGATGTGCAGTGATATCTCATACTCTTGCCCAGGAGCTAGGCCAGTTTGCTGATACGTGGTCTCTGGCCTCCTCAGGCTTTTTGTGATCTCTCCCTCATCTTCTTTATTCTGAAAGATAGAGACAACTTGGTAAGACCTAAAGGAATTGCCAACCTCTTTGCATATGTGACTCATTCATTCCACAATCATTCGTTCCTCATTTATTATTTTATCCATTCATTAAGCACTTAGAATGCATCAGATCAGTACGCTAGGTGCTGAGGATACAAAGATGATTAAGAAGACTTTTCTCAAGTTCTTTTCTCCCTCTCGTAAACCTCTCTACTCACCTCTTTGACACTCTAGTCAAATGACAGAATGTGAAAGTCAGAGAAAATTCTGAAGCCAGAACCTCTCTTTGATAGACTAAGAGAGGAGTGTCAGAGAAGTCAGGCAATTCTCTCATAGTCACACAACTGTGACAGATTCTGGACTTGAACTCAGGAACTCAGTTCCCTGCCTCACATGTGTATTTAGGCCCAGAGAGAAGGGATGCTCAATCCGAGGTATGCCAAGAGGCATTTTGAAACAGCGACCAGTTATTCTCTTCTTTGCCTCAGAGATGAGATTTGCCATTCTGTGAGGGGCACTGGAACTGAGAGATGACTTAATTTCTATTTGTCTAGGCTGTCTTAGCCCTAAGTGTTACGTTTATTGACTTACTAAAATCAGGGGAAAACCAGCATCACTTAAATATATATGTATACACACAGACTGCTAATTTTTGAGCCCTGTCCGCTAACTAAAGTGGAGGAAGTAGAGTTGATGTGAAAGTCTGCAGAGCCCTTTGGCCATCTTTGAGATCCTTGTGGTCAAATACATTTGGGTCTTCAGGCTCCTTACCGTATTCCGGAAGATGATTTCCCAGGTTTCAAAAGCAATGTCCAGAGGATCCCACTCCACTTCCACAGAGGTCTCCTTGATGGACTTGAATTTTAGGCCTTCAGGTGCAGGCAAGTCTGTCAGGAACAAAACAAATAGGAGGTGAGGGTGGGGCAGAGATGTGATGGGGCAAAACAACCATGACTTCACTAGACCCTGAGGGTGGATGTCTCCCCTGGTCCGGGCTGGTCATCAGCTGAAGTCTATTTAAGGGTTCTTCTGGGAAACTGTCTACTGCGAGGAGGTAGGAAAATCAATAGTAGGACAAATCATATGATTCCGACTCATGGCGACCCCATGTGTACAGAGTAGAACTCTCTGTGCTCCTTAGGGTTGTAAAGCCTGTGACCTTTTGGAAGCAGATCACCTTTCTTCCAAGGTGCCTCTGGGTGAGTTCAAACTGCCAACTTTTTAGTTGGTAATCAAGTGCTTAACCATTTGCACCACCCAGGGACTCCAAACATATGATCAAATATTGGCAGTTTCATATTGTTTAACCTAATAAGAGCCTGGGCTTTGGAATCAGACAGACTTGGGCTAGAATCTATGCTCCACTACTGCTACCTTTGTGACCTTGGAAAAGTATAAAATGCCCCGAGCCTTGGTTTCCTCTCCCATGAGAAGGGGGTACATATGCCTGCCCCTTGGAAATGCTTTGAGGACTAAGTAAAATAATCCACGTAAGGCACTGAGCATGGTTCCTGGCATCTAGCATGAGTTCAATCAAAGGCAGTCACTGCTATTAAAAAAAAACAAAACAAACCCATTGCGGTCGAGTTGATTCCGACTCATAGCGACCCTATAGAACAGGGTAGAACTGCCCCATAGAGTTTCCAAGGAGCACCTGGTGGATTCAAACTGCTGACCTTTTGGTTAGCAGCTGCAGTTTCCACTGCTATTGTTACTAAGCAAGAAAAGGCCAATTTCCAGCCACAATTTGCTTGTCAGGTGTGGAAGTAATTATGCTAGGAATGGACTCTTAAAGGAATAACTTGAACCCTAGTGTTTCCACTTTTATTTATTTATTTTTAATAAATGGACAGTGAGCTGCATAGAAAAGTAACGGAGTAGGGTGGTTAAAGGCATGAACTCTGCATCCACCTTGCTGGGGTTTAAATACCATCTCCACTACTTTCTAGTCTGCGTATTGGGACACAACTTAACCCTTCTTAATCTTATCTGTAAAGAGGGGTTTACAACAGCACCTAACTCCTAGGACTGTTCCAAGGATTAAATGAGTTAGCATATGCAGAGTGCTTAAAACAAAGCCTATTGCATAGTCAACACCTTCTGTTTACCCTGCCCTGGTGGCCGCAGTGGTTAAGAGCTCAGCTGCTAACCAAAAAAAAAAAAACGTTGGCAGTTTGAATCCATCAGCTACACCTTGGAAACTCTACGGGGAAGTTCTGCTCTGTCCTATAGGGTAGCTATGTGTCGGATTTGACTCGACGGCAACGCGTTTGGTTTAGTTTTTTTTTAAGTGTTAATAGTAAAGATTCTCTGTGGCAAGAAGGATACAGTAGAACAAGGAGGAGTTTTTTTTTGGTAGAAGATAAGGAGTTTCTTTAAGAAAATATTCAGTGGGTTTAAGTGGATTCCAAGGAGCCATGATGGTACAATGGTTAAGTACTCGGCTGCTAACCAGGAAGCTGGCAGTTCGAATCCACCAACTTCTCTGAGGGAGAAAAGACCTGGCGATCTGTTCCCATGAAGATTACATCCTTGGAAACTCTATGGGGCAGTTCTACTCTGTCCTGCAGAGTTGCTATGAGTTGGAATTGACTGGACGGCACACAACAACACAACTACTGGATTCCAGGTTCTTCTTAATTGGTGTGATTATAAAAAGGCAGCTATACGTCTATGGGGCAAAGACAAGGGAGTAACTCATGGGGGACATTGTATGCTGGAGGAGCTGAGGGTGGTGGAGACTGGCTGTGAGGAGTTCCGCTCACTCACAAGTGGCCACCCTGGCGCTGACGGGAATGCTCTTCTTGTTCTCCAGGATGGCAAACACTTGGGTAAAGTACTCTACACCAGGCTCCAACTCCCGGATGGTGGCAGATGTCTGGTTTCCGGGGACGCGGAACTGCATTTCCAGGCCACCCTCATGGGTAGGTGTGTACACGATGAGATACTCTGTGACTCTCATCTCATTGTCCCAGGCCAGGTTTACTGTCTCTTCCGTTACTTCCGTCACAACGAGGTCTTTGGGAGGGGACACTGGCAGGAATAAGAAAGGTTATCTCAGGTCAGTAATGTACAATGTAGATTCTTTCTAGGTTTGTTTCTCTTGACTTCTTTCTACCACTGCCAGTAACAGAGGCCTGACGGTCTCCCCTGAAATCCAATTTTCATTTTCTAAAATGCAGAACTCACCAAGGACCCCCTGCTGTGACCCAACTTAAAAACTTTCAGTGGGTGCCCATTGCCTTCAGGCTAAAGTTCAAGGTCAGTGGTCTGGCATTCAGTGTTCTTTGTGACCGTTGGGTCTTAGTTCAGATTAGGGTCATTGGCATGGAAAAGTGCAGTCTCGCCTTCGTCCCGTGCTCTGGACTTCACAGCATATGTCCTTAGCACAGGAAGGGCATTTTGGACTCATCTGGTCCAATGCTTTCATTTTCTAGATGGAAGACCAGTGACGTGAGGAATTTGCCAAGGTTGTTTATCTCATCAAGTTTGGAATTCACTTCTACTCCCTGCCAACCTGGTATTCTTTCCAACCAGAGCAGGCCACATTAAACCCAGAGCCATCTATTTATTCCTAGATACCAACAACTTTAATCAAGGTAGAAATTCTCAATCACAACAATCACATATATGGGTGGATGACAGAAGTATAAAGAAGACTCTCAATGAACATGATCATTATCGTTCTTTGTTATGTTTTCACTCAACCAGTATTTCCAAAGCACTTCCTATAAATCACACTATGTGTTAACTACTGGACGTAGTGCTTCTTTGAGGAGCTCACAGTCCTTGGGATAAAAGAAGTAATGATAAGATGATTTAAGAGGCAAGTCTGCCTGGTCGGTGATCAGCATTTAGCCTTTAGCCGAGTGGGCATGTCTTAGGTAATGTCACTCTCGAGTTTAACTTAGCTAAATTTTTAATACTACCCGTAACGGAAGGTTTAGTCTACTATCTGTTCAGTCTCCGGAGAATAGGAAAGAAAGTTGATGTTAAGCAACAGGGAGGTTATCATTTCATCAACCTCATCTTTGGCACCAGATATTGAACTCAGTATAGATGAGTTAGGCAGGCTCAGATCCCAGCTCTGTGACATATTAACTGTGTGCCCTGTAGACAATTATATAACCTCTCTAAGCTTGAGAACGCTCATTTGGAACAGGCGGATGACCAGAGCCCCCTCAAAGAGTCAGTGTACGTGTCTATATATGTGTACATGTGCATGCGTGTTGGTGCAATATAACACATCACTCTCCAACACATACTGGTGCACACTAGCCCACAGCCATTATCACGCTAGCTTGAGCAGTGGTACTCACCCTCAGAGCAGTCTTCCCCAGCATGGCCTTCATTGCAGATGCAGCGGCCTGCGACACACTGTCCCCAGTTGCTGCAGTCATTGGGGCAGGAGCGCTGCCCGCAGTCCAGGCCTGTGAAGCCCTCATGGCAGATGCATTGGCCGTCCACGCAGCGGCCCTGGCCATTGCAGTCACTGGGGCACCGGCGCTCCTTGCAGTCTTTGCCCATGAAGCCTTCATGGCACACACACTGCCCATTCACACAGCGGCCCTGCTGGTGGCAGTCATTCAGACAGGAGAGCTCTGCACAGTCGGGGCCGGTGAAGCCGTCCTCACACACACACTGCCCATCCACACAGTGGCCCCGGTTGCTACAGTCCTTGGGGCATCGCAGGTCTCGGCAGTCCTCGCCCATGTAACCATCGTCACACACGCACATGCCGTTCACACAGCGCCCGTGCTGGTGACAGTCATTGGGGCAGCTCATTTCACTGCAGTCATAGCCCTGGAAGCCTTGCTCGCATTCACACTTGCCCTGGATGCAGCGGCCCCGGCTGTTGCAGTCGTTGGGACAGCGCTGCTGGCTGCAGTCCTCCCCGGTGTAGCCCTCGTCACACACACACTGCCCGTTGACGCAGTGGCCGTGATTGCTACAGTCACTGGGACACTTGAGGGCCCCGCAGTCAGGTCCTGTGAAACCATCGTCACACTCACACTGCCCCGCGACACAGCGGCCGTGGTTGTGACAATCTGCAGGACACCTCTTCTCGCTGCAGTCTGCCCCAGTGAAGCCCTCGTCACACACGCACTGGCCCTCCTCGCACCGGCCCTGGCTGTTGCAGGCATTCGGGCAGGTGAGCTTGCCACAGTCTTCCCCGGTGAAGCCCTCTTCACAGTAGCAGGTCCCGTTGACACAGCGGCCCCGGTCGAAGCAGTCGTTTGGACAGATGAGCTCGCTGCAGTCTTCGCCTGTGAAGCCCTCATCGCACACACACTCGTTCTCCACGCACCGCCCGTGGTTGTAGCAGTTGTTGAGGCAGAGTGGCTCACTGCAGTCATAGCCGGCAAAGCCATCCTTGCACACACACCGTCCGTTCACACACCTGCCGTGCTCCTCACTGCAGGGCACCCGGCAGACATCCTGGCTGCAGTCAGCCCCAGCATAGCCTTCGAAACAGACACAGACGCCGTTTATACACTTGCCCTGGTCATTGCAGTCGCTGGGACAGGCCAGCTGGCTGCAGTCTTCCCCGGTGAAACCCTCATCGCAGACGCACAGTCCATCGATGCACTGGCCTTGCAGGTGACAGTTGCCTGGACATTCGGGCTCAGAACAGTTGGGGCCTTTCCAGCCAGGTTCACATACACAGCCACATCCTTCGGTGCTAAAGTTCCCCCGGCCACTGCAGAAAGGCGTGGTATCCAGGCGGCCTGCCAACCAAGAGAACAGATGTGCTCAGCTGAGCTCAAGCAGCTGGATTTCTCTGTATCTACCAGCGAAACCCAGATTCAAATTCAGCCAGAGGATGGTTGCATTCCCAGACCCCGCCTGGCTTGAAAACCAGTTGCTCAGTGTGTGAAGCCAGATAAGACTAACATTCAATTACTACCACCGCCACCAGTTGCTATTGAGTCGATTTCAACTCACGGCAACCCCATGTGTGTCAGAAGAGAACCATGCTGAATAGGGTTTTCAGTGGCTGAAGTACATCACCAGGCCGTTCTTCCAAGGCACCTCTGAGTACACTTGAACCACCAACCTTTAAGAATTCTTCTTAACCTGGAACTTCAGGGGGTCCGTGTATTCCCTGAACTTGTAGAATTGTGTGCAAAGATTGTGTGTGTGTGTGTGTGTGTGTTTCCACCCCCAGGGAGAAGATCCATAGTTTTAATCAGATTTTCAAGGAGTTCCGTGAGCCCAAATGAGTACAAATCACCATCACCACCTTATGGAACGTGCTATGCTTATGTTGCTACTTCGGTGCCTTGCCAAGGCCGGGCACCAGGGGATGCCCAAGAAATAATTGTTGAACCGAACTAAATTCTGACTCTTTGACTTACTAGCTGAGCCATGTATGGGAAGGGATTTAGGACTGTTGGGAGCTCAGTTTCGTCATCGGAAAAGTGCGACCAATAGACCCACCTCCCTGGGGTGCATGAGAGTTATATGAGGACATTAAGAGCCTACTGTTGTGCTTTCCTCTGCTTTCTTATCTTCATTTTTTTTTTGGAGGGGTTGACTTAAGTTGGTATGTGGGTTTCCGTAAGCAAAACTTTCTAATTTTCCATGACTGAAATGAGGCAGCTAAGCAGTGGCTCTCTAATTCCGACAAGGCGCCTTTCAACCTGGTTCTTCCCCCAGAAAACACATGTGTCCTTATCTTTTCTTCCTGTTTTACCCTGAAGGCTGCAGTGGAGGGTGGATTGATGGCTGCATGGTCAAGGCTGCATGACCCAGTTTTGGGGCCTAAATCTTATCCTTTCAGGTCTCAGCAGCCACGGGTCTCATCTCGATGGAACCAATGAAAGGAAACAAAGCTCCCTTCCAGTTTCTCTGTACCTGAATATAGCTGTGATTAATGTGATTTATTTCCTTCTTGACAGCAGGAAGGAAGGACATTAAAGAGAAATGTTAGCTTGGAAAGCTAGATTCTAGATCTGCTGTCTGGTATGGTAGCCCTCGCCACACATGGATGTTAAGCACTTGAACTGTGGTGAGTCCAAATTGAGATGTGTTGTAAGTGTAAAGCACACATTGGATTTCAAACCCTTAGTATAAAAGAAAAAAAAGTAAAATATCCCATTAATAATTTTTATATTGAGTCTATGCTGAAAAGCTCATGTTTTGGCTATGTTGGGTTAAATAAAACAGGTGATTAAAATTATTTTATCTTCTTTTTTCCCTTTTTAAAATGTGACTACTGAAAAATTTAAGGTTACACATGTGGATTGTATTATACTTCTATTGGACAGCACTGCTCTAAACAATAATTTCAACCCATTCTTTAGCAGTATTGCTACTGTGTAACTCCCATCTGCATTTTGCCAAGGAGTTGACAGAAGTGGGATATAAACTACTTTATGCATAAAGTTTTTTGTTTTTTTTTTTTTTTTTTTTGCTTTAGAAACTTATGTACTATAGTACTCTCCGCTTACGGTGATTAGGTCTTCTCTTGACATAATTTATCAAAGTACTTTCTGGTGATTTCTTCTGAGTGGCAGAAACAGAGATTGTCATCTCTGATTTGAAGTCGTGGAAACTACTTGTAGTTCTATCAGTGTTAGGGAATGGAGATGATGGCATAATCCCAAAGTGGCAGAATTCCTTAAAATGGGATGCACAGGGAGTAAGGTATCACGGAGAAGAGCTCTGGAGACACAGAGACAAATTCCTTATCTCTTATTATTCTTTGCTTTATCTTGTGTCAGTTGGTTAACTTCTTTGAGTCTTAATTCTTAGATTTGCAAACATTTATCTCAAAGGGTTGCCGAGCGGATTAAATGAGATAACAAATTACAATGCCTGGTACATACCAGTAACCAGTTGCCATCGAATCCATTCTGACTCGTGACAACCCCATGTGTGTCAGAGTAGAACTGTGCTCCATAGGGTTTTCAATGGCTGATTTTTTGGAAGTAGATTGTCAGGCCTTTCTTTCAAGGCACCTCTGGGTGGACTCCAACCTCCAACCTTTTGGTTACCAGTTGAGCACATTAACCATTTGCACCACCCAGGGACTCCATCTGGTATACAGAGGAAGCTCAATTTATGGTTGTGATCATGACCACCATTAAATAGAACATTTTTTCCAAACCCCACAGACTGTGCCACGATGAGCAGTGTTATACATTTATAAGAATACTGGGGTGTAGAACACTGTGGTTTAAGTACTAACTCAGCAACTCATTGCAGGACCTTGAAGGATCCCATCTTGCTTCTGGGCCTCAGTTTCCCTATTTGTACAATGAGGTGATTGGGCTATACCAGGATCTGTCCAAGTGTACTCTTTGGGTCAGGAATTTCATGGTATGTTCGCAGGTTTTGGGGTAGAGAATGGGTAGATTCCATGGTCAAATAAGTTTTAGAAACTTGTAATTAAAGTACAATAGGTTTTTTTCAAAGTAGGACTTCTCAGAGGCCTGAAAATTCCTCTGGGAATCATTTGTCACCATGATTCTCCAAGAGCAGGATAGAGATGGCTACATTCCCCATTTACTTGACCATGAAATCTCTTTATTGTGAACATTTTGTGAGATAACTTTTCTGGGAACCTACTTTGGAAATAACTGGTAGCTCCTGCTGTGCTAGCCATTTGTCCCATCTGTCGAGTGTTGGAGGGGAGGGGAAAAGGAGGGGGAGGGCTGCGCCAGTCCCCAGCTCATACCTTCGGCAGGCTGAAGACAGCAGCTTGCTCCTGTGGTACACTGCTCCCGCAGGGAAGACACCAGGTTCTCCAGTACTTCCAGTCTGTTCAATAGTTCCTTGACATCAGGGGCAGCGGCACAGCCACAGGCCCGGCGGGGGATGTTGATGCGGTGTGTGAAGACAATCTGGTTTTCCCCATCCACTGTGTGCTCCTGGAAGCTTTCGTTGGGCTCTGACTGTGGAGCCATGTCTTTCTCCCCACTGGCTGATTCCAGATCCACTGAACACTGGGACCCCATAGGCAGCTTGATGTTGTAGACATGGTTAAACACCACTGGCTGGTTCTCCTCTGGCAGGGTCAAGTTCACCCCACTTTGTCGTTGGTGCCGGATGACTTTCTTGAGGACCCCGCCTTTGGCAGGGAGAGCAAGCAAAACCATGAAGATGCCCACCAACAGCCGGGTTGTGGCCCCCATGGTGGAAGAGGGTTTGGCTGGATGCTGCTGAGGTCTTAGGTTTATTCACTCTCAGGCTGAAATTGGGGGTTTGGAAACACAGTGTAGAATTCAAATCAGTTGTCTCTTATCTTCTTGAAGAAATTATCTTCTACAGGTAAACAAAGGAAAACATGCTTATTAGTATATACTACTAAATCAATCTATTGAACATCTGCAATGCCAAGTGAATTCTGATTTTATACCTCTGGTGTTTGAGGCTCTCCTGATACGCCTTCCAGTATTCAGTGTAGTGTTGATATAAAATGGTCTGCAAAGGAATTTTGCAATCTTGGAGGAATGATTTCACTCACTGTTCAATTTCAGAAAATTTAAGTAGACAGCAAATTATAGGGGAAAAAGCAAAACTTTGGAATACAAGAGATTTAGACTTTAGTCTCATCTCTAGCTCTGGGCCCTGGGGTAAGTTATATAACTTTACTTTGCCTTATTAATCTTTTTGAACAGTGAAGATCATAATGGCTAATAAACCAAACCAAATCCATTGCCATTGAATCAATTCTGACTCATAGTGACCCTATAGGACAGAGTAGAACTGCCCCATAGGGTTCCAAGGAGCAGTGGTGGATTCAAACTACTGATCTTTTGGTTAGCAGCCAAGGTCTTAACCAGTGTGCCACCATGGCTCCGTAATGGCTAATAGCAGTGTTAAAATATTGATGTGAATCATTCATATATTCATTCATGCCTTAAATATTTACTAGCTCAGCACTCTGAGTGATTTAATATGGTGGTATGAAGAACATAGTCCCAGTCAATGTTCAGTAACTCTTACCTCTTAGTATTGACCCGCCAAACTAGTTTACCACAATTTTCTGTCTCACCTTTGTCTTGGGAAGCAGAGATTAAAATAAAGGACTCCAGAAGGCAAACAGAATTCTAATCTCAGATGAAGTTCTTACTAGTTATGCACCTATTTGCATATTACTCTACCCTCTGTGAACCTCAGCTTCCTTTATCCTTGATTTATCTCCAAAACCTTAAATAGTCAAGTTTTTAGAAAAGTCTGACTGAGTATCCCTGAGCCAGTGTTGTCCAAACAGTGATTCAGGGCAAGTGGATGACTCAGAAAGGAAGCTCATGTACCTCTCATGCTTTGTCCAATTAACAAGTACTTATAGAATTCTTACTGAGTTTTCCACAATAATCAGAATTCTGTGGATAGTATAAATAAATATGAGACCACATGCCTACTCTCAGAGGATTTACAACAGAGTTAAGAAGAAAATGGAATCATCTATTCAAACTTGAGGAAGAAAGCAAGAAGGAATGCAAAGAATTCATTTCGTGATACAGAATATAACTGTGTATGGAGTTTCAAAAACAAAAGGGATTGTCAAAAGGGTGGTAAAACACTCTTATTCAGCACTGTGCTGGAGGTCCTAGCCAGAGCAGTTAGGCTAGAAAAAGAAATAAAGGGCGTCCAGATTGGTAAGGAAGAAGTAAAAGTATCTCTATTTGCAGATGATATGATCTTATACACAGAAAACCCCAAAAGATCCACAAGAAAACTACTGGAACTAATAGAAGATTTCAGCAAGGTATCAGGATAAAAGATAAACATACAAAAATCAGTTGGATTCGTCTACACCAACAAAGAGAACTTCAAAGAGGAAATCACCAAATCAGTAGCATTTATAATAGCCCCAAGAAGATTAAAATACTTAGGAATAAATCTAACCAGAGACTTAAAGGACCTATACAAAGAAAACTACAAGACACTACTGCAAGAAACCAAAATAGACCTGCATAAGTGGAAAAACATACCATGCTCATGGATAGGAAGACTCAACATTGTGAAAATGTCAATTCTACCCAAAGTGATCTACGGATACAATGCAATCCCGATCCGAATTCCAATGGCATGTTTTAATGAGATGGAGAAACAAATCACCAACTTCAATTCATACGGAAAGGGAAGAGGCCCAGATAAGTAAAGCGTTACTCAAGAAGAAGAACAAAGTGGAGGCCTCACACTACCTGATTTTTGAACCTATTATACCACCACAGTAGTCAAAACAGCTTGGTACTGGTACAACAACAGATACATAGACCAATGGAACAGAATTGAGAATCCAGATGTAAATTCATCCACCTATGAGCAACTGATATTGACAAAGGCCCAAAGTCCATGAATTGGGGAAAAGACAGTCTCTTTAACAAATGGTGCTGGCATAACTGGATATCCATCTACAAAAAACTGAAACAAGATCCATACCTCACACTACACACAAAAACTAACTCAAAACAGATCAAAGACCTAAATATAAAATCTAAAATGATAAAGATCATCGAAGAAAAAATGGGGACAACGCTAGGAGCCCTAATACATAGCATAAACAGAATACAAAACATTACTAACAATGCTCAAATACCAGAAGAGAAACTAGATAACTGGGAGCTCCTAAAAATCAGACACTTATGCTCATCAAAAGACTTCACCAAAAGAGTAAAAAGACAAACTACAGACTGGGAAAAAATTTTTGGCTATGACAAATCTGATCAGCTTCTAATCTCTAAAATCTACAAACCGAAAAACCTCAACAACAATAAGACAAATAACCCAATTAAAAAATGGGCAAAGGATATGAACAGGCACTTCATTAAAGAAGACATTCAGGCGGCTAACAGACACATGAGGAAATGCTCACAATCATTAGCCATTAGAGAAATGCAAATCAAAACTACAATGAGATACCATCTCACACTGACAAGGTTAGCATTAATCCAAAAAACACAAAATAATAAATGTTGGAGAGGTTGTGGAGAGACTGGAACACTTATACACTGTTGGTGGGAATGTAAAATGGTACAACCACTTTGGAAATGGATTTGGCACTTCCTTAAAAAGCTAGAAACAGAAGTACCCTACGGTCCAGCAATCCTACTCCTTGGAATATATCCTAGAAAAATACAAGCCATCACACAAATAGATATATGCACACCCATGTTCATTGCAGCACTGTTCACGATATCAAAAAATGGAAACAACCTAGGTAACCATCAATGGACAAATGGATAAACAAATTATGGTATATTCACACAATGGAATACAATGCAACGATAAAGAACAATGATGAATCCATGAAACATAACATGGAGGAATGTGGAAAGCATTATGCTGAGTGAATTTAGTCAGTTGCAAAAGGACAAGTATAAAATCACTATCATAAGAACTCAAGAAAAGGTTTAAACACAGAAGAAAATATTCTTTGATGGTTATGAGGGTGGGGAGAGAGGGAGAGGGGTATTCACTAGCTAGATAGTAGACAAGAATTAGATAAAGGGAAGGACAACACACACTACAGGGGAAGTCAGCACAACTGGACTAAACCAAAGCTAAGCATTTTCCTGAATACAACCAAACACTTTGAAGGGCAGAGTAGCAGGGGCAGGGGCCTGGGGACCATGGTTTCAGGGGACATCTAGGTCAAGTGGCATAACAAAGTTTATTAAGAAAATGTTCTGCATCTCACTTTGATGAGTGGCATCTAGGGTCTTAAAAGCCAGCGAGTAGCCATCTAAGATGCATCATTTGGTCCCAACCCACCTGGAGTAAAGGAGAATGAAGAACACCAAAGACACAAGGAAAGTATTAGTCCAAGAGACAGAAAGGACCACATAAACGAGAGACTTCATCAGCCTGAGACCAGAAGAACTAGATGGTGCCTGGCTACCACCAATGGCTGCCCTGACAGGGAATACAACAGAGAGTCCCTGACGGGGCAGGAGAAAAGTGGGGTGCAGAACTCAAATTCTAGTAAAAAGACCAGACTTAATGGTTTGACTGAGACTGGAGGGACCTCGGAAAAAATGGTCCCCGGACTCTCTGTTAGCCCAAAACTAAAACATTCCCGAGGAGACCTCTTCAGACAAAGATTAGAGTGGACTATGGGACATAAAATGATACTCGTGAAGAGTGTGTGTCTTAGCTCAAGTAGATACATGAGACTAAATGGGCAGCTCCTGTCCAGAAGCGAGATGAGAAGGCAAAAAAGGACAGGTGCTGCTTGAATGGACATGGGAAATCTGGGGTGGAAAGGAGAAGTGTGCTGTCACAGTGTAGGGACAGCAGCTAGGGTCACATAACAGTGTGTGTATAAATTTTTGTATGAGGAACTAACTTGAATTGCATACTTTCACGTAAAGCACAACAATAAAGGAAAAAAAAAAGGGTGGTAAAAACCAAATCAAACCAAACCCAATGCCTTCGAGTTGATTTTGACTCATAACGACCCTATAGGACAGAGTAGAACTGCCCCATAGAGTTTCCAAAGAGCACCTGGTGGATTAGAACTGCCAACCTTTTGGTTAGCAGCCATCACACTTAACAATTACACCACTAGGGTTTCCCAAAAGGGTGGTGGGGCTTGGTTTATTGCAAGGAACAGAATTTAAGCTGAGCCTTAAAGAGTGCAGAGGATTAGATGGAAATAGAGTATGGAGGAGGATATGCTACCATGAGGCATTTCTCACTTTGCCAAGTTGTCTTATTCATCTGTCTTATGGCTATTCGTCTGTATGGTCAATCAGGTATCAGAGGAAAGGGGAGCTGTTAAAGACGGATGAGAAACAATCAAGTAAATGTAGGATGAGATGGCTAACTTTGGATGGTATAATATTGACTAAAATCATCTTCAGATGCATGTGAGAACAATCTAAACATGGCATGAAGTCAAATTTGTGGCCTTCTTTGATTAGTAAATACATCTGAATGTTGTTCAAGGAGATAATTGAAGAGCTTTTTAATTATTGATTAGTCATTTCACAAATTGACATTTCCCTATGTTCATGTTATTCTGCAGCTGCACTTCTAAGTTTGTTCTTTATGTTAACTAGCTGTACTACTTGGATTGCTTATCCTGTAAGAGGGTTTCTAACTTTTTTCCAGAATGATTATCCCAAGGATAGAACACATCAAATATCCCAACTGATCACCTTCATGATGACAGAAAATCTTTGCAAAACCTAGAGAGAGATTGTGGTAGGGAAAATTGAACTGAGAAGCATTTCTGTAGGACTTG